ACCGAAGTAAAGCAAAACCAAAGCAATGCTATCGAAACTCAATCGAGACTTACTCTCTCTATGACCACTAAATTAAGTTTGGTGCAAAGATGTTTTTCCAACTTGTCTCGACTAAAAATTATTTGAAATGAACATTTTCTACGAGCCGAATATACCTAAAAATCTTCGCTTCGAAGTATTTTGCATAGGTTGAGATTGCGTCACTACTCTTTTGCAAAAATGGATATTAAATAATCCTTCTTGACGTATTCCTCATCGTTCATGGAGTGTTCTACAATTTTTTTCCAGGTTCTAACGGTCATCATATTCTTCAGCTCTTTCATCTCAGTTCTTTACTACCTGGGTGTGATGCCGCTGATCATCACCAAGATTGCCTGGCTCATGCAGGTCACCATGGGAACATCAGCTGCCGAGTCTCTCTCGGCCGCTGGAAATATTTTCGTCGGACAGGTAATGTGATAACCCTCTTGAGCGCCTTTCCTGACGGTATCATGTGAATTGCATCTCATGTATCTCTCTAACGGATTGACACTTAAGACTTTACTTGACTGGACGGTGGGGTGGCTCCTGGTTCAGATCTTAGGTTATTTTAGTTACTCTTAAGTCAGTTAAAGAAGGGAAATGGTGTTTCCTTTTCGAGAAGTCGCATTGCAGACGTTCATGAAAAACAGGATTTCATCCATGTTGGACATGTCATAACCTAAATTCAATAGAGGCGTCACCATATCCCAGCGAATGAATCAAGTGTGGCTCCCAATAACCTCAGTTTCTTTCGTCTAACGTCAATTTCTTTCCACTTGAATTTCTCTAGACAGAAGCACCTTTAATGATCAGACCATTTCTTGCAACTTTAACTCAATCCGAGCTCCATGCGGTCATGACAGGAGGCCTGGCTACAGTGGCAGGGGGAATAATGGCGGCGTATATCGGTGTTGGGATCCAGGCCTCACATTTGGTCGCAGCCTCGGTAATGTCAGCGCCTGCTGCTCTGGCTGTTTCTAAAATCATGTACCCAGAGACAGAAGTACCCCAGACCACTTCACAGGGCGATATACATTTCGACAATCCGTAAGTTCGTAGTATCAAAGTTTGAAATAATAATTCAATGCCTTGAACGAGCCCTTTATCAAGAACGAAGACTGATAACTAACTTTGTGTTCAAGTTAAATCGCACAAGTAACTGAGAGGCTACGGAGTTACCCTTTGCACTCACGCGCGCTTCCTGCGCGAGGTCATCTCCCATGTTCCCCTAATTTTAGCTCGCACGTTTTAAAAGAATCTTTGCGATACAATCTCTTCATTACTCTCAGTGCTCAATTTATTTTATTTAATTTTGTGAAGCGAGGAAAGAAATCTCATAGAGGCTGCTGCCAAAGGAGCATCAACCGCAATTTCTTTGGTCGCCAACGTTGCCGCCATGTTGATCACGTTCTTTGCTTTTATCGCGTTCTTCAACGCGGTGCTGTCTTATATTGGAAGTATGGTGGGATACTCCGAACTTAGTTTTCAGGTGAAAAATTCATAATTTTTCAACCATTAGTATAAATTTAATTAGATTACGTGTATGTTTAATCAAATCGTAAATTATCTACTATGTATTGAAAACCAAGGCATCAGGAAAAATTCGTGCAGTGAAGTTAATGCAATCTTGTTGCGCGCGTACCTTCGCGATCTTAGCGCGATCCCAATACAAACTTGGCGTGCTCCCGTCTGGGGTCAACGCGACAACTGAATCCAAGCGCAACTCTTGTGCGACTTCGGTGTGTGTCAGAAATAACTGCAACAGAGTTGGTTTTACTCTTTCGTATATGTCTTGATGAGTTCAAAATTTTTTTTTTTAAGGTTACTCTGCCATGCGCGCTTTCTCTCGCGAGGTATTAGTTACGAGAGTCAACTTTAATTAAAATTGAAACGCGGTAGTTATGTCTACTGTAAACAAATAGCCATGGACATTTGATGGCAATTTGGTTTTGTAATACTTAATTTTCTACCTTTTTGTTCAAATGTACTTCAATCGAGACCAAATTTATGTTCCCTTCTTTTTCCCTTGATTAATTCTTGCTTCCAAATGTCCTAATGACTTGTTTTGAAGGAACGGACCTTTTTATTTTCCTCTCCACCTCAGGTAATCTGCTCCTACCTTTTCATGCCGTTTGCGTTTCTCATGGGAGTAGACTGGGCCGACTGCAATACTGTGGGGAGGTTCCTCGGGATAAAAACATTTCTCAACGAGTTCGTGGCTTACCTTGAGATGGCTCCATACATAAAGAACCGAAACGAAATGAATGGAGGACCCACGATATCAGTAAGATCTCAGTAGCCATTCTCCCCACTCACTACCATAAACTTCTCAAAAAGTTTACTTCTGAGAAGTTGTTGTTGAATCAAATGATATCTCGCAGTTGATATTTTTCGTCATTCTCGTCACTTTTCTGCTTAATGATGTATTGACGTTGTATAGAGAAATAATTCTTGGTAACTCCCATTTGACGCCTGACAGTGATGAGCGTCTTATTTCTCCCAACAGTATCACCCCTTAATCATATATTAAGGTAATGAGAACAAAGGAAATGATCGCAACCTCAATAAGCTCTTGATTGTTAGACAAATTCTCCCTGTAAGTACCTAAGGGTATGTATGGCGAACAGTAGGAAGGACTTGCATACTGATGTTAGGATATAAAGGGTTTAATCCAAGTGGATTTAACAATTCTCTGATAAGCAGTTCACCTACACAATTAGGAAGTGGGCAGATGGTCGTTTTGATAGTCTTGCGATAGTCTACGGATGTTTTGCTTATTTCCTGGGAAAGCTGAACGTTTCCTAAGAAATTTCGAAGTTTTTTTGGTTAGAAAGGTTACGGAAGGCTACCGAGAGGCCACCTGACCAGTTTTATTTACAGAGTACACACAACACTTTCTAAAAATGGGAATTCTATATCTCTCTATCGCGTAATTCCACCTTTTTCCTGTGACTCTTTCATTTTTCTCATTTTCTTATAGCGTCGATCGGAAGTCATTACAACTTATGCTTTGTGTGGATTTACAAATTTTCTCGGCCTGGGTGTGTTACTTGGTGGACTGGGTCCAATGGCACGTAGCCGAGAGGGGGACATGGCGAGAATTGCTATAAGGACCCTGTTTGCAGCTACAATAGCCTGCTTTATGACGGCCAGTATTGCTGGTAAGCCATAAGGTCATATCTCTCATGTTTTAAGGTCTGGCTGACCCATATTCTTTCACCCTTAACTTTTAGATTTCAAATACTCCTTTCAGGCATTCCGATAAGTGTTTTCCCTAAAATACCTCGAATACTGGATAAATTTGAACATACGGTAGCTAGTTGTAGTTTACGGCGACAAAAGATTTTTTCTTGTTCGTTTAAACTCGTTTTTGTCAGGCTACTCACTATGTACTACGGAGTAGATAGCGTGTAGCGAAACCAATCAGATCTCACCATTTGTGATTGAACGCTAGTTGATAAAGTAGATGTTTAACAAATAGATTCCAAGTTGCCGTGCGTCTGTTCAGTAATAGATCACAGATGACGTCAAAATGTGGTAAGAACAAAAAAGTGGCACACGAGGCGCAGCCGAGTTTGTCACTGATGTTCTTACCACATTTTGACGTCCTCTGTGATCTATTACTGAACAGACGCACGGCAACTTGGAATCTATTTGTTTTATATAATAAAGAATTTTAAAAAAGTTTTAACGATGACGTCAGCTATGCGTCTGTCCTTCAATAGATCATAAGTGAGAACCAATCAGAATGCGTGCATAACTGAGCTTACTATATAAATACCAATATATTTCATTAAGGTTCTAAACTGAACGCACGCGCATAACTGCAACTTTAAATGTTCCATTTTACCTTTCAGGATTTTTATATGACGAGTCTTTCGAAGCTGCAGCGATTAGTCCTACGTCATTTACCAACACCACTACGTCACCATAAGAATCAACCAATCATTTTCATACAGCTGCGGATAACAGCTGTCAATAGGAGTCGTACAGTTAATTGTAAATCGTGGACACATTTCAATGTAGGGGTTAAAAAGACCTACATTTCGCCATCTCATTTTTTCCTTTCTCTCAAAGAAGAAAGAGACGTTATAAACAGAGCCTAACATTTCACGAAGATAAGTGCTTCTTGACCTTTGAGAGCCGAATATCTTTCAATTGTTTCTAGAACGTGTGCAACAATCGTAGCTCCAGTATATCGATAGGCGAAACCTAGGGTTGTGAAGACAACGTGAGAACTACAATGTGTTGAAACCTTTATTTAGGTACATTTACAAAAATTTAACCTGTCTTGTAGGTGTTATGATAAGAAACAAGAGTACCAATTACATGTAACATAATATACAAAATCTAGCCATTCCTAAAAAGGTTGAATTGTATTTGTTACTCGTATTTACTCCTTTTTAATCCAAAATTTGTCGCGAAACATTTAAATATTCGAAAGGAAAAATCATTTTCGTTTAGCTATAAATCAGGTAAAGCGTGAAACTTACAAATGCAAATTATTGTATTTCAATTTCGCGACAGACAATATCAGTTTATCGTTCTTACGAAAGGAATATAGTTGTAAAGAGGTTTATGGAAACAGTCCATCAACAGTCCATCAATATCTAGCTATGGTCTATATTTAATTCTATAGTTAGAGAGGAAAGTATCAATCAAACGAAAGGGCGATTTTGCCCAAATTTTACATTTTAAGTGGTAACGTTAGCAATAAAAGAGGTTTAAAGAGAAGCAAGTTAGAGGTACGTAGACGTGTGTATGCACGTAAGTTGTTGAATGGAAGATAAAGAGGAAAAGAGTGGAGAGCAGCGAAGGAGATTCATAGAGAACTCCGGTCCAGATCAATCACCTTCTTAGCCAATCAGATGCAAAACTATCACTCGCAACTTGGTTACTCGCATTTTCTCGCGCTTACCTGTAACTTAACATCGTTCTGATTTGCTACTGTGATTGTTCTAGTTTCAATTTCACGATACTAAATAGAAATTAACTTTATTGATTCATCACCCTTCTACCATGCCTAATGACAAACAACATATATTTCATGTTTCGATCATGGCAGTCAACTCCAATGCAAAATCCATAGTATGACGTACCAATGATCGAGTACAATACAAAACTCCCACTCCACATCGCGATGAATCAGGATTTCTCTGCCCGGCTGTCCCCTAAAAGAGGTTGAGTGTCACTGTATGAATCTTGTGTCCTTTCCGGAACCTCCTGTGAAAATCAAATCGGGTTGTTTTCAGGGAAAATATCTAAACCATACCTCAGACGGTATTTGGTTTGAGCATCACCTCCCACCCACCCTCTACTGTGAGAAGCTGACTTCGAAGTGTGAATTTAGGATCGAGAGGTCCGAATACGAACCCTGACTGAATCTTTTTGACTCTCTCATAGCCTCTCTCCAGCTAGGAGTACCAGCAAACAGTTAAAAGCTAAGGAGGTTACCTTCGATGGACTGGCAGCCCGTCTAGGTGTAGCAGCTTCAGAAAAGTGTATGCTATGTAATGGGTTTGTTAGACTGAGGTTCCACCGTGTTATACAACAACAGTACGACAGTTACACTCCACAGCTTACCTCTGGCGGTTTGAAACCAGGACTGAGCGGTCTTCGTGATCTTTCAGCATCGACTGATTTCATTCTACTCAACCTCGCTTTGGCCAAAGACACCTTCTTGCTGACGTCAGGTGGATTTCGAGTACATGTTATGTCTGCCTCGTCCCAGATCTCTTCTTGTATCAACAACTCAAGCACATCCTCCAGAGTTATAATGCCAACAACTCGCTACGAAGACAACACAAAATTGAGCTTTGTGAAAAGAAATGTCACGAGGTCTAGACCCGCGCACTAGCTGCACAAAAGGGCGTAGCAAGCGCGTGTCCATTCTCTTCAGTCCAACTGAATACATGTACCAACGTTTGAGCGTACCAGTTCTGATAGATGAGCCAAAATAGCCATATGTCTCAGAAACCAAAATTGAAGTAATTAATAAATAATTTCTTACTTAACTTGAGCATTTTTTTTGTTTCAAGTCCAGAATATGAGACAGGAAAACAGTTCCGCTATTATTACTGTAAGCACAACCAAGAGAAAATAACGGAGCAAGAGGGACTTTCGCAGCCTTGCCTGGAATACGCCAATTCCTCTTAAATATATGTTTCATTCTAGACGGGAGAGGAAGATAATCTCGAATTCGTTAAAAAAAAAAACTAAAGGTCACTGATGGATGCAGTGAACTTTGGAAAATTCCAGTGTGAAAGGAAAACACATTATGAGTGACGTAGTCCGTATGATTATGTCACGTAAGGTAAAACCAAACGTCCTGTAACGCTCCTGCATGTAAGATTCGATTAATCGACCTCAAGATTCATAACCCTTCGACAGGACAACTTATTGTTCACTCACGATTTCAATCTTAGGTCAGTTACCTACCGATTTCATGTTGTTGCCTTCGTCTATCTGTGTTTTGAAAACGACGCAAAGATGACCTCGATTAAAAAAAGTAAAATTCTTCGCTTTCAAATTCAATTTTCATTTACATATTTTCCTAAAATAATAAGAGCTTCAGTTGAAGAATTCAATGGCTAATTTTCGTGATAAACAGTACCACAGAATGTAAACACCAGAGACACCCTGGAAAAAAGTTAGTTGGGTTGGGTTTGAGCTCACTTAAAATATTCACAAATAACGGCTGGAAGATCCCTGGAATTTTCAAACTGAATTAAGAAGACTTGAAAAAAAGTCACATTCTCGATTTAATTTTGGGTTTTTTTCACATCGGATAGCCTTTGAATGGTACCTCTTGCCCAGTGTAATCCTTCCCCACAACTCTCCCCAACTTTCTCATATTTTGTAGGCTTTTGAATCATACCCTGAAACAAAATCAAACACTAGAGGCACATACATACTTTTTCCAGTCTGAAACTTGTCTAGTAAATCAAACAGAGGTTCAGTCGTAGATGAACATAGAAAAGATCCAGCTTTGTACACATCTTTGATGGGTGTGGCCTCATCAGGGTCCAACATGATAAGTGACTTGACAAACAGAAGCCCCACAATGTTTTCTTTGTCTCCCTCATACACAGGTACACGTGAATGGCCTTTTCCACTAATCTGGAGTCCAAACAAAAGAATTAAAAAGGACATTGAAATAACAAGAATTTGAAATTTGAATTCTAGGAAATATCTGCCACCTCTCAATCATTTGGTACAAAAGCGTGAAATACAATTGGCACTTATCCAAGTCTAAAAGTTAAAAAGAACATTGAAATAGAGAGAATTTTAAATTTGTAATCCAGGAAATGACTACCACCTCTCAATCATTTGGTGCATAAGTGTGAAATACAATTGGCACTCACATGGGGCTAAAAGTTAAACTCTGTTTAAATTTCTCATGTATAAAACCATTTATTATGGCTAGAGAGGTTTCCGCTTAGTCATAGTGTGAGACAGAACAGAAGGAAATATTTTACACTAGTTCCAAATAACCTCAATTGTGCCATAATTTAATTTTAAAACTGTCAATTAAAATGTGCTCTATTTTTCAAATTCTTGAACACTCCTCACCTGTGTCATTGTGTCATGATCCAGCTTGCAATTTGCATCTAGCATGAAAACATTCTCCAAAGGTGTGTATCTATCTGCCACTGTTTTGTTCCTCATTTCCAATGCTCCCTGCAGCAACAGGACACCATTATTAGACAAGACTGCTTGATGGCACAATGCTTCAAATTTGAAAGTACAACTCGAAACATTTTTAAATTGGTGGTAATAAAGTTTTTCCTGTCCTTCTGTATAACTCAACTTATAATATACCATCTCATAAGCAGAAAAACCCTTGAAAAATTGCATCCCCATTACCTCCCCTCATCCCTGTTTCCATAGATGAATACTTGGACTATATAGCAAGTGTAAAATTGAACACTAATTCTAATCCAGCCTTTCACGTTTATACTGTACATGTTTCATATGGTGAACGAGTAAATTTGGAAAAACAGTTTCAAGTATCAACCGTGTCATTGTGAAAAAGCCTTTTAAGTTAACAAAAAACTCTTAAAAAGTGGTTTAGGTCAAATCTTACAAGCAGGAAATAATAAATGCATATTAATGGCTGCTGTTCCACCAGTAAGCAGTTTTTACAAGGAGTGTCTCAAAGATTGATCTTGGGACCCACTCTCTTACTTTTTTGTCCACAACATGCCTTTAAGTAGAGTGACTTGATATAAGACATTTATGTGGATGACACAACTTTATGAAAAAAGTTCAAGCTGGGAAAAAGTTCCCCATCTCATAAAAGCTTTCAGTCCAAAACTCCCTTTTGGATGCAATATCCTTGCATTTTCTTTCAGCTGTGCCTAGACACAGGGAACCCACACACACAATAACATACCTGTATAATCAGGACCTCATCATCTCTGAGAGGATCTTCATTTGCATCTGCAGACTCTCTGTGAAGATCCACAAGTTCCCGTAGTTCTAACAGAATAGAGATTGGAGGCAGTTCTTCATTCAAAAACTCCTAAATTATCATGATCCAAGCTAAAAAGGATGCTCATTTTGTGTAACAAGACAACTATCAGTAGTAGTACCTGCTCGTCTGAAGAAAGTGGAGTGCTCATGTCCCAGAAGACAGTCCAAAAGTTTAGAAATGGGCCAAGCAATCACAAACAGTAACAACATTAGTAATTTCACCATCCTGCAAAGCGAAACAATTTCACAGGTAGTCAGCAGGCAGGAAATTGCAGTCCACAAAACTAAGTGATACTTCTTCCTGGAAACATAACTAAGACATTATCTTCTTATTCAGAGTGAGTTTCATATTCCTTTTCTTGTTTAAGGATTATCACAAGATATCTGGAACCAGGGAGAGAGTGAATCACACTAGTTTGGAAACCATTTCAACATACACTGTCTGGAACATACTTGGTGAGAGGAAGTATCACAAGAAATACATTTTCATCCATGCAAATATACTACTTGACATATAGTTCCCAAAAGCAGGATTACACAAAGCCTTTATAAATTCCTTCATGAACCTTTATCACAAATGAACTGTTTTTAAAAGAGGGATTTACCCCACTGATAAAAAAAAAATTAACAATTATTCACCTCAGTGGCAGTGAATAGTGGTGGATATTTGCCACTTTCACAAACACTGAGGTGAATGGTTGTTTTATAATATAACACACAGAAACTAAAAAATTAGTTTATTTATTCCATTATACCCATTAATGGTCAAAAATTAAACTTTGACATGTGATTTTGTCTCATCCACTGCTCAGAGGTGAATGGTACTTGCTATTCACTTCTGCACTAACCAATCAGTGTGCCTATGAGCACTATTCACTTGTGTGGTATATACTAACAACAGTTATTCCACCCATCATTCAACAACACAGATGAACAACTTACGGTGCCAGTGTTGCACCAATAGCCAGGCCATAACGGGTACATAGGGCTTGAGGAACAACTCTGTCAATAAAATGCACAAAGATCACAATAAGAAAGCATCTTAAATTTTTCATTCCTTAGTTCTCACTTTGTTCTTCTGCTTTGTCTATATCAGCATATTAAGACAGTTCTTTCACTTAAACTCCACACAGAGCCTGCCAACATCTGCTTTGAACTGTTACTGTTATTTGTTTTAGTATTAGCAGTCATAAAAGATACCTTTCATTGAATCTATTTGGGAAAATACAAGACAAAATAACTGACACCGACATGTACAAGCAGGTAAACAATCTTTGGAATAAAGCACCACTTCCAGAAAGGAATTTGCCAAATATATATATAAAGAGACACAAACAACATTTCCATGTCACTGCAAAGTTTTCTAAAAGATCTTGATCATAATCATGATCAAGCCCTCCATATCCTCCAACTCTCTGAGAAAAACAGACCTATTCATGGGTATGACATAGAAATAGTTGTGTCACCCCAAAGTTTTCTCTTTGTCTTTAACAAAAAGGCTTTATATATATATCCTCTTACTCTCCAAAAAACAGCACAGCAGTAACTGAAACACAGATGGCAATAACAGGACTGGAGATCCTATCCATAAAAATTGGCATAGACTCCACTGCAGCAGCATTTGCCAACAGGAGAGTGACCAATAACAAGTGATGTTTTTCTACCAATGGCAAAATTTTAGCAGCATGTTTCTTCTCTTGTGGCTTCCCTCCCCTTTGCAGAACTTTTAAACTCAAAATATCCAGTGATAGTAGGCCCATGGTCAGTCCAGACATCAAGCCTGAAAAATATAATTAACCATAAATTGATATGTCATTAAAAGCAGTGCAGGCCAGGTCTGAGAATGAAAGATTGAAAGCTCATTGGGTTTTAAATCGAAAATCAACCTTTCTCATAAAATTATGAGCTTTTGGAGACTAAAAGGACCTTTCAAACGACACTAAACGTAACCTCGTCCTTCCAGATTTCCATACATAAATGTGAAAATGAAAAATAATCTTCGTGTCCAGTAGAAAATATTTGAAAAAAAATAATCAAATCAAATTTTTTCTGGACGATTTTAAGCATTTTTTTGGTAATTTTCAATAAGTTCACTGGACTGAGTTGATTCTTTAATAGCTTGTTCAATCAACACTTACATGATGATATGAAGTGACTTTGAATTCGTCATTCACTAATAGCTTGTATTATTAAAACTCGCATTCTTGATATCATTTGGCCTTGTTTATTGATAATAATGATAATGAGATGACTTTTTTCGGGAATATTGTTTGTTTGCGCCCTTGTAGTGTCATTTGCGCCCCTCGCGCTTAGCGCTCGGGCCGCAAATGACACTACAAGGGCGCAAATAAACAATATTCCCGAAAAAAGTCATGTTATTCCCTTATTAACATTTCCTTGACAGCTATTTCTGAACTTTAAACCATAACGCCCAGTCGTTAAGAATTTATATACCTTTAGTTTCGTTGTGAATCAACTACTTCGATTTTTGTTCGTGCGTTTACCTTTGAAAAATCGCCTCAAATGTGAATCATTGCAGTTTCTTACGAGAAAGAATATAATTTATAAGCTGACTCGCCTGCAAACAACACCAAGGCAATGTAGACTCCGAGGTAAACCCAAAATGATCCGTCCTTGTAGTTTAGCGCTTCCTCGTGACGATCATATAAAGTTCCATTGCACATCAGAGACTCTTCACCCTCTCTGACACAAAGAAAGCCCATTTTTGGTGGTTCTTCAGAGTTTCCTGTAGTTCCGCAATTTAAAAAAACCTTAAGAATTCGAGGCTATCTGCCCGCCATGTCGACGATCCCAATTAGACCCCAGGCCTCCCCTGGATGGGGGTTAAACCAAGTAACACCCCGGAAGGGAACACGTACCCAGCGCCACTAAGGTCTTAAGGGAGCCGTCAAGGCTCCTTTGTGGACGTAAATTTCATTCTGCCCAGAGCTCTTAAATTAGAAGAAGATATTTTGAGCTACTTAGAAGCTCAGAGAAAATAACAAAATTATTATCAATAATATTTTGCAGATCATAATGTACAGAATATATTTAGTTGCAGAAACCATTTCTCTTCAGCCATCATCACATGAACAGTCACATATAAAAAACAATTACAAAGAAAAAGCCAATTTATCATGAGCGCCCCCTATTGCTGAATTTTCTGTTAATCTCTGTATTTAATTTGCCTGATTTAATTCCTAAATTAAAATTGATATTCTATGAAAAGAGGGCATGCATCAACATACCAGTAACCACAATTTGAGGAAGAATTAATAAAACTAGCAGTTAGAGATATGTTCAAGTCATACTCAATTGAGTATAAAGATTCATACCAAAGGTAAAGTGATAAGGCTAAGGTACCAGACACTTTTGTGATCTCTTAGAGATTTCTTTTATCTGTTGTTACTAAAACCAAGAAACCAAATTCAAACAGGGGAAAAGACATCACAGAATCACAGTATAAACAAAAATTGAACAGAGGAAAATTTTAAGCACAAAGACTGCTCATCAAGTTCTGATTGTTTGAAGGATGAATAATGTTGCCTGGAGGATAAGACACTAGGAAGTGGATGGAGTAGTTTGTTTACTGAACCCTTGTCCACTAGATGCAAATTTCACAGAATAAAAAATAAAAAGATCTACATAAATTGCTATCTATTCAAGAGTATATAGTGTGGTTGGTGATATTTCCAGAGCTAACACTATCTATGCTTTGGAAAACTGATAAAAAATGTCTTACATGAAGGGCAGATGCTCTTGTAAATTATCCAGTTTTAAAAGGCATCACAACAAGATGCATATACCATATGTGACTCGCTCCACTCTAAACTGCTAGCATCAAAATGTCTGCATGTCAAAAAGTATGGTGTGTTTTTTAATGTGCATTATCATTCTATATAAACTAGGGAAACTCTGTGATGTTACTACCAATCCCTTTCATGAGGTTCTCTGTAGTCCAGGCCAAGATAGTCAAACACATCTTTCTCACTGAATACTGGAAGTGGAGTTCCTTCAAAAATCTTGTCACTTCCCTTCCGGACAACATCTTTATTCAAGGAGTGCTCTGAGAGGGACATGCCATTCTTCTTAGCAAGAAGTCTCATGGACCTATTAAAGTAATCAGAACCAGTAAAGTATAACAAAGAACAAGCCCACTCATTGTAAGGCACAACAATGATATCCAAACGTCTGTGCTTTGTATCTTCCCCAGGAAGTTTGCAAACTCCAAGGTATTTTCTATGCTCCCCATTGTCAGATAAAGTAAGATCATCTGTAAGAAATCCTGAGGATTTTAGACTTTCTAATAGTTTTGCTATAACTCCTTTATGAGATTTCCCATCTGGGTGCGATACAATGATGTCCACATCACCACATGTTGGTTTCCCTCTGCGGTAGGATCCACAAGCAAAGGCTTGTAATCCTGGGTTAATGTCAAATGCAGCTTTTTTAACAACTTCCTCAATCTTTCCAGCTTCTTCCCTTGGCATTCTCTCTAGAAACTCATCATAGTATTTCAGGCCAATCTCTTGTTGTCTAGTTAACTTCCCATGCTGTGTCAGATCCTCAAGACTTTTCAGTCCTTGAGAGACCCAAGCTTCTGCAGTTATAGGCCCAGCACCCCAAACACCAACAAACAAGTTTAGGGCATCCTGTCTAGGATCCACATGATCAAGCCTTCGTAAATGACCAGTCTGAACTATTTCCCAGATTTTCTTAGCAAGACGTTCTCCAACAAAAGGAAGGTTGCTACATTCATCCCAAGTTTCAAGTCTTTTGGGATAATTTTTGACTGACGCTATAGCTTTCTTATATCCCAGAGCTCTCCACTGATCTTTAGTGTTGGCATATGCCGTTGCAAGAACTTGAAGCTTGTCAGTTATAGGTTGGTTGTGATTATGTTGCTGTGAAGTAGAGGCATGAGCACATACCCAGGTTGCATTTCCAAGTTTCTCTGGAGAGGTGTTGGGTGTAATAACAGGAGATCTGTCTGATTTGCTTCCCTCGTCACCACTATCGGTAAAATCGCTGTCATCATCTACTTGAGTTTTTGAGGTCAAGTGTTTTGTTGGGGACTTACTGAAAGTTATTGTGTCATTTGATGAAATTGCTTCAGTTTTAAGCATTGTGGTTGAAGTTTGCTCATCAACACTTTGTTCTGATGCCTGCTTTTGATCGCTTGTTTTAATATTCGCTTCATTTTTAACAGCTTTCTCTTCAACTTTACATTCATCCTTACCCAAAGTGTACTGCTCTAGATCTACGAGTTTCCCCTCGGACAGACACTTGCTCAACCACTCAGAATCCACTAAGTATACTTCTTCAGGAATACTTTTTACACCCAAACACTTTTTCAGTCTCTCTATTTTTAATTTCTTGTCAACCAACACGTGTGTTGTTGAGCTTTCAAAGTTCTTGTGATGCATACCACCATGTCTTTCCAGCTGTTTTGCCAAAATGGATGCCCGAGTTTTTCCGAGACCAACTTCCACAATCACAGCTTTGACCCCAGAAAGACTAAGTGAAAGCTTTTGCTTTTTCCTTTCGTCATTTTCCGGTGAGGATGCTCGCTTTTTCGACATAGCTTTTAGTGTTTTTGTTTAGGTGATACTTGAACAGTTCGAATAGTCCATTTTACAGTTGCGTGCTTGGTTGCCAAGCCTTTGAAAATAGGAATGAGGCTAAGAGTGACCTTGTTATGATACAAACCTTGCTGCTTTTCAAATGTACCACTGACTTTGTTATTACGCAAACTAGATACTAGTTTCTATCGGAACATGGTCGACTTAAGCCTCACTCCAAATCAAAGGCTTGGCAACTAAGTACCCAACTATAAATTGGCCTATTCTCTGATCCGTTGTCTCTTGGTGTGTTTTACCGTATATATATTTTTTTAATTCTTTTTTTTTTTTTTTAATTATTTACAATTACAACAAAATAGAACAACGTAACCATCCAAAAAACGCAAACCTTGGGTAATCAACAACCCAATTTTTTAGACGAAACAAGATTGAGGCAGGCATTGGCATCTAGGTAAACAAAGGGTGAGGCGGCAGGGGGGAGTGCCATAAATTGTACCAACCAACCAACCACAGTTCTGAATTGCAAAAAATTAAAGCTTCAAAGTATTTCAAACCAAACACATTGCAATGGCTTCATATCATGTCCCCTTCTACAAAAAACTAAATTTTTAAATATTCTGCTGTCCCACACTTTGCTGACCATTCTATCCAAACACCATCACCCTGTAAAATATCATTAAACAAATTGCTTTATTTACATTGAACATTACAACTTGCTCTGACAAAAGAGATTAAGAGGTTGATGTCACAAAAGGCATTTGCCACCTTCCTCTTTAAACAATGCTTGTGATTTTCAGTTACTGTAATTGAGCCATAGGAGATTTCAGTCTATGGTAATTGTATCCTATGAGCATGCTCTCATAAATACTGAGGCACAAACAGCAAGGCATGTACATTAACGCCTACAAGAGTCTTGTCTTGCAGCCTTTGCTATTCAAGGTGAACTGCCAAAGACAACCTACTCACAAGCTAAAGTGCTGTTTGCAAACTCTTTAGAGGAGCTACATTACAATTAATCCAACTTGTGAAATTTAACCTAACTTTGTAATGTTCAACATTTGCAAACTAATTTAACCTTTTCAAATAATCCTTGTTCTATTTTGGTCTATTTGGACCCTTTGTTATTTAGGTGACATTCAAAATTCTCATTCAACATTTAGGATGGAATTATTAACATCACATCAATGATCATTAAGATAATTTTTAACGGTAAGTACAAATTTTGAACATGTTGGTTGATGTCTCCATTGGCAAAAAAATATATATATTAAGCCATACAACTTGTGACACATTTCTTCACTGCATCTCTAAAAGAAAGAAAACAAGATGCAAAAAGACAGAAAGAAATAGTGTTAAGTTCTACAAGACTAACAGCTCATAACTGGCAGAGGGTATCCCAATTTCCACAAAGCAAAAAGGAATGTGCCAATCATCAATTGGCCTCCTGCCAATTGACAATGTACCCCAAAAGTTTGGTGATGCCAATTGAAACTCCCTGGGTGAAGAGTGGCCTGAGAATTGTGATGACCTCCAGCCTGGTATTTAACACAGACCTCTCCATCTAACTTTCAGCATTCAAACTGTTTTGCATTATTTGAAGGCTTACTTAGTTAAAATCCATATGCAACTTTTGATAGATTGCTAGATTCTCCTGCAAATTGTCATGTATTCCCTTCTGAGACAGAGGGAGAAGCAGATGCTACACCAAAAGTCTCTGAGAGCTTCATCCCATGCAACCTTTCATTTGATAATTTTTAATGTGTACTTGTCTAACACAAATGCAGATATTTCTGGGTTCATTATGGAAACAACCATTAGTTCAATCACTAAGGACTACACTACCCTAAAACAATAAAATCACTGTTCTAATGACCATGAACACAAGACTTGGAAGAGTTGAATTCTCACCTTGCAAATGGAATGTAGGATAGGCAGTACCTGCAAAAACACAATTATGATAATTATGTATATATTCAAATAGCACGAGAAATTATTTTTGATAAAAGCAGCTATTCAAAATTTACATACCATGTCATGGCTAAATACTGAAGAATACAGAAAACCAAGGCCAGTCCCTTGTTTTTCCACTAAAATATAGAATAAGTTCAACAACAATATGTTATAATCCTGCAGTCAGTAACTCAGTTAAGAGGTAAAATTATAAGTGTTATAACTTCATCCAACTAAAACCTTTCACAGGGGGTACAAAAGGTTGCTGTGAAAGTTTTGTGGTGAGCCCTACCCTTGCACAATGCTATAAACTATAAAGGTTAAGTCTGTACTTGAGCCTATTGCACAACCCGGCTGGAGCTAATCCAGGTTTCCAAGTAACATGAAGTGACTAGGAGTATTAAAACTCCCCCTTCCATTGCAAGTTTACCCTTCAGCATTTCATTAGGCATCCCCAACAGTTTGCCAATGCCCATTTATATTCCTGGGTGGAGAAAGGCATTGTGAGGATTAAGTGTTTTCCCCAAGAACATGTCATACTGACCCAGCCAGGTCTTGCACCTAGACCTCTCTACCCAGAGTCCTGTACACTGACCATTAGGCTACAGCATCTCCCTATAAACTCTATATCACATCAAAACAAGACTACACTCCCAGACAAAATTAGTTGGAACACTTCACCGAAAAGTGTCAATGATGGTCTTTTATCAGGTCTCCCCATCCAATGTTGTTAATTGCCAATGTTTTTATGCCATCTTGCAGAATGACATTGAGAGGGACTGAGGAAGCAGTTGAGGTAAGAACCAATGTACTTGAGATTGTAACATTCAAAAATACCTCAATACTCATCGTACTACAAATTTAATGGTCTGGCAGCCTTCTAAAACTCATTAAGTAGTGTCAAATCAGTTAATTAATGAAGTCTTTGTAATTCATGTACATCTTAGAAACCAAGTGAAATCTTACCCAGAGTGCTGCACACAAAGTAAGAATCAGACAGGTCTAGATAAAAAATGAATCAAATTAACAGTTAATTAACAATGTCACAAAGTTAAACATGGGAATCATTGCCTTATTTGCCAAATTATGCTCATGTCATCTGCTGCATTGAATTGTTCCTTTTAGACAGTCATACTGTGAAAGCCTCAATAATTATTTGTCATTGTGTGTCATTCTTTTCAAGCAAACTATCCACAATATGTTAATCATTTAATGTTGTGAATGAATCATATGTGGTGTGCCAGACTAATCATTGAGAGGAGTCTGATCTAAGTTATAAACCAGCATTCAAAACAGGAAACCAAAGAAACAAACAGTTAAATCTAACTTTAACAAAGAATGTTAAATGACCAATCACACCTGATATGCACTTTTTCTCTCTAACTTGTAACCAAAGACCCAACAAAAAAACTAATAAATAAGTTTTCACAAATGGAATAGGTGACATTTGCTCAATAAATGTATCTTCACTTGATTCCTGGAATGACTTCTGCGCTGGTTTTTGAAACATCAGTCACTTTAACCAACAATGTTCTTTTTCCCTATCACCCTTACCATTATAATTATGCCAAACTTTTCATATAGCAACACTTAATTTATTCTTAAAACTGACTGACAAATTCAAAGATTGGAAGCCAATGACCATGAAAATACATTGTTCATCCAAGAGACACAAACAATCGTACTTCATCGTGTAAATCTCAGTATGAATGAAATTAAAAGATATCAGGGATGTCTGGTCTTAATTTAACTAGAAAGTAGTCTGTACATAATATAACAATAACTCAAAGTAAGTGGAGGATGTGTACATCTTACCAGCATTACAATGGTAGCAATCAGACGCTTTTCTTTAAACATATTTCGCAGCTGTTTCATAGGACCCATAAGAAAGCATGTACTGCAAAGGAAGGCAACATCAGTTGTATAACAATCTTGCTGTATTTCCACACAGAATATAGGAAAATTTAGCACCTAAGTGAGAGTATAGCCTTATATAGTTCAATTACTACCAAAGGAAAGGAAACTAAGATATCAAATATTATCTTTTATACGATATTTTAATCAATTCAAGCATTGATTTTATCTACACTGTAATTCATTAAGTGAAATGTCAAAATGTGGCTGGACTTGACCAAGTTGTGTTACTAACCTTGCAAGAGCTGTTACATTACCCAGTGAGTAGAAAACAGCAAATAATTTTATATCTCTCCATAACAAAATCATTCCCTGGAAAAAAACATATTCGATTGAAGTTAACCCTTAAACTCCAAGAATTTATTAAACATGTAACTTCTCCCTATAATATCCATAAATTATCAAACAAAAAGGAAATGAGAATACTCAAACTTTTCAGGCAAAAGTTGTTATCTTGATCTAACACCATATTCTCATTACTACTTTACCAGGAAATGTCTTACAGCTAGAGGGGAGAATTAACATCAGATCTTGGAAGTTGAAGGGTTAAAACAGCCAGGATATTCTTTACAATTTCTAAAGAAGATGTGAAAAATATTTTGTAAACATGGTAAGACCATCCTTCCTTTTAGTTTATTTTATTAGAGGTAGGTTGACACCATTTTTTAATCATACAGTAGGGGGTGCTGTGCTTGATAAAACCCTTGCTTTAGATGTGAGCACTTGATCATCATAATCTGGTGAGTTAAATGTTAAGCTCAGCTCCTAAATCCAACACAAGGCCAGAACTCAGAGATAGCTTGATCTTCTTCCACCACAAGAGCTGTATATTGATAATATTTTAAATCTAACATTCAGCAAATTCAAAACTTACCAGAAAGGAGAAAGACACACCAATAATAAAACATATGATAAATCCTTTGATCCTTGTGGACCAGCTCAGTGTGGTTGCATCAGAAATCTGAGAGGAAATCAATCAATATCCCAAACTGACTTTAACTCAATGTAGCCTACAAACATACTGAAAGGAAGGGGCTTTAAATTTCTTAAATAACATTATCCTTAATAATAATTGTGATTCTTTCTTTTCCATCATTATAAACCAATAGGGCCAGTTATTTACACAAGGTCTAACCCAAACCATGGTTTTTACATAGTCAGTGGGGCCTCAGGCTTTCTCTATAAGAGGGTTGATTTAACCCTTTAACTCCCATGAGTGACCAAGACAGAATTTCTCCTCACTATATCTATACAATATCATACAGACAAGTGATGAGAATAAAGTAAACTGATTACTAATTGATCCAATACCAAATTCTCCAAACTAACATAATGATAATTGTTTGACAGACAGTTAGGAGAATTACTAATGTGACCTTGGGAATCAAAGGTTTCATTGAATAAATGTCCTTCCACTGCTAGCTTTAGGCACCCTTGATACTGTTCACAAAAATGGATGTTCAGATAAAAGGTCCAGCTAAATTGAGGATTATTTAGGACAGGGTTTTGTTAAACAACAGCATAACTTTGTTTAAATAACAAGCCCATCAAGTTTCACTTAATTTCATTTGTACATCAGGAGCAGGGATGGGACATGGCCATAAGCAGGCTCTATAAGTTTGTATGTCACCATAAGGAGTGGGTTTTTAAAGACCTAGGTCTCTAACAGAGTACAGAAATCCAAGAATTTTGGTCCACAGTAAGATATGATTTTCAGCGTAACACAAGTTTTTCAACTCCTTAAAGTAATACTAAATATTTAGCCCATCCTTACAAAATCATTGACTTGTACAGCAAGTGTGTGATGAAGAGACAAACTTATCAGCTAGAAGGTATTATGTTAATAAACCAATGAATTCTCTAAACTATTTAACACATAGAGGATATCATATGGCCACACAGACTGAGATACAGAATTTCTCTTTGAGTGCTGAAAAATATTTCTCAAGTGAGCTAAGAGAACAAGTGAAATATTTTTCAACACAAGAAGAGAATCTTCATATCTCCAAGCGGCTATGTAATATTCTATCTATCATATAAGCACCAATGAAATAATAAATCAAAGGCATTGCATCAAAAGGCATTTTTATATGGAACCATTACAACAGTGATCTATTCACATGTGAAGATAACATGTTATCTACAGGTGTGGAGATATCATGTTTTTGCACAAAAGCTCACTCTGTATTTTATTGACATTCATATAATACAGAAATGGATCACATCTAAGGTGGAGAAATAAATAATTCAGATTTTTGGAGTTAACCCTTTCACTCCCACAAGTGACCAAGACAGAATTTCTCCATACAATATCAATACAATATCAAGCAGGTAGGTAATGAGAGTAGAGAGGAATATCAATTATGGGATTATTAGTTGATCCAATACCAAATTCTCTGAACTAACATCATAAGAATTGTATGACAGATAGTAAGGAGAATTACTAATTAGATCTTGGGAGTGAAAGGGTTTATTAGTGACCAGGACAATAACTATGCTGAAAATGAGATCTTATTTTTTTAGACTAGAGAGGCAACCCTTTTCATTCGACCAACTAACATTGACCTGTTAATATCCAAGATCAATAGATTATACCCATGATTAGTATTAGGGATCGACCCTGATGTAAGATTTGTTACTTTCATATGTGAAGTAGAACACGGAAAGCAGATAATTCAAAATGGAAGGGCCTGAGAAAAAAAAAAAAAAATGACTAACTAATGAAAATCAGAAATATACCATAATAATGATAATAATAATTTATTTCTATAGCGCATTTTCCTAACACCCAAATGCGCTTTACAGTGTCAAATTATCATAACCTATAATTAAATAAAAATTTAAGGTCTAAAAATATGCTTGTCAAAAAAGATAGGTCTTAAGCTTAGCTTTAAAAATAGAGACAGATGTGCTGCTTTTAATCTCAAATGGAACCGAGTTCCAGAGGTAAGGCACACACACTGAGAAAGCCCTCAGGCCAGTCAATTTGAGCTTATGTGTTGGTTGCTCCAGTAGAAGTTGGTCAGCAGACCTGAGAGCTCGCCTAGGAACATAAGGACTAGTGAGCTCAGTCAAGTATGTTGAAGCCGCACCATGGAGTACTTCTGGTATTCTAACACAAAGCATAAGCTTCAAGATAAACTACTTTTTAGCCATTGTTTTCTTTTACCAAGAAACTGCATGCACAATGAGCATGGGGCTATACGGAAATAATGCTGAAAATCTTCACGGGCTCTTAGATATACAAAGGTAGATCAAACCCCAAAGAGAGAAACACAACTATCCGCAGGCAAAAAATGCATCTACACCACAAATTACAAAATTAGTTTACATATACATCATGGTTCACCCCTTCAACATGTTAAAAACAACATAGGAAAGGTAAGAAACGAAATGTGAGATCAGATGCAAAGAGGAAGGGGATCCAAACAATGTCTTCACAACAGATTTGATTGTTCTTGTTTCTGTCAAAAAATTCGAGGTTGACTACCTTTTTAACACCTTCTTTAGTGAATTTCTAAAGACAGTTGTGAGCATTTTTCGTTTTCTCATAGGCTTGATTACAATTAACGCAAAGTGTCGGTACTAAAATTACGGTGTTCAACCACGACACAACGGTTTCTCTTTTAACCTAATATACATGTGATGTGTTTCTGGCATGAAAAGGCTGTCTCTCGTGGCCCAAAAAAATCATTCAGAAAAACGATATAGGTAGCATCACTTTGTGTTACCTCTGTTATCAATGAATCGTCTTGAGTGTCTTTTCCCGTGATTGTATCCCGAATTTTCTGTAAGGTAGCGGGCGCCATCTTACTTAAATTACCCAGCATTCATAGGGTTACGAATTTGAAAATAAACATGTCTTGACGTCAACAAGAATTAAGACCACTTTACATCACATTTCTTTGAATTATTTTGAAACTGAAAAACTTGATAACTGACAAATTTTTGCTAATAGGTATTTTAAATTATTCATTAACTTACAAATCATTCTCATTCTCCTTCTGTGGAAAAAACGTTTTCCCAATGTAGAATTAGCCATGAAAAAAAACAAATTTTACTCAGCAATGTATCAAACTCCGTCTTTTCGCACTTTCCTCTCAATTTAAAAAAATATGAGATCGAAAACAGATAACTGTGCTTTTCTTTCAGTTTGTCACGTCACGCAATTAGAAAATCAGTGCGTGACCGTCTACCTAACCTGGTTAGGAGCGCCAGCATTATCTTTGTTAATAGTACAGCGGTACCACAAATAAAGGGCTAAGGCGTTCTGAATGCTACTTCCCATATGATTGGTACTGTTGAATTATTCCTTTTACGATGCAGACAAGAGCTGTCGTGGTAAGAAAGGACGAAAATGGTCAAAGGGTTTATGAACTACGCGAATCGGTGAGATCTGCAGGAGAAAATTGACATTGCTATTCGTATGTTATGTTTTGAGACCGGAGTCGTTCGACTGAATCAGAACTTCAGATGTCTAAGATCTGAAGTGATTTGTGCATTTTCATTGGTTCTTACCCATGATCTACTGCAGAACAGACGCACAGATTACGTCACCATCATCACAGTATTTCCCTTTGTATTCTAAAAAAAAATTCCATGGTGCTGTGTTCGGCAATAGATCAGAGGATACGTCAAATTGAAATGAGTCAGAACATCAGTAACATACTCTGCTGGATCTTGTAGGCCACTTTTTTCACACCAACTTGGAGTCTGTTTGTTTTGAAAAATATGTTTTATTTATTTTTTAGTTTGAGTGCCCAACACTAGATGAAAACAGCGTTGCAGTAAAGGTCAAAGCTTGCGGCTTGTCTCCACACCATAACAAGGTGCAAAACTTTGAATAACACTTGCTAAATAGCTAATAAATTTCTTCTGTACAGGGGTGCTTCATATTCCGATTGTTAAGGCTGATGACATGAGTGTGTTTTTTTCTGTTGCAGATTTTAGAGGAATTTAACTTGATAAGCAAGAAGGAACAGCCATTTGGAAGAGAAATATCAGGAGTTGTTACAAATGGTATACATTGCCAAACTTAAAATAAGCACGATATTTAAATTATCAAAATTCAGTTTAAGAGAAGGGCCATACATGGAAAGAGGTTATGTCAAAGTAAATTTTTTCTACTTTGGACTCAATTTTTTCCTTTTATGAGGTACTTCCATAAATCCATTATTCATAAGATGGTAGTAGCAGACACAAAGACACAGTTGTTTCATCAAACATTGGATAAACATTCTGAACATTTAATATATTAAATTTTATATTTGAGTCCATGTTTAATCATTTATTTTCTTTCAGTTGGATCAGCAGTCACAAGAGTCAGCATTGGAGATGAAGTGGCTGGTGAGTTTTTCTTTGTTCTAATAATCATGTTGCTATGTGAATAACTTATTAAGGGGAGTTCAAAAATAGCTAAAATTTCAGGCATTCAGAAATTCAGAAAGGTGGAAGGAATCAGATAAGAAGTGATCTCTTAGAAAAAAAATTGGTGTCACTGTGCAAAAACAGTGTACAGTATCCAAAATTTATTTGTCTTGTTTCTTATTCCACACATGGGCTTAATGTACAACAAAGCATGGATATTTTGATGACTTACAGCATAAGAATGGGTGTTAACATTGTATTTCTTATAGTATAGTGTTCACAATGCATCAGCAATGATAGAATTGTCTTGCAACTACACAAAATTCCTCAGAAATGAAGACTATTCTCCTGTTAATTTACAGAATTTTCCTTCTACCACATTCCTTTGTACAGATCCTTGCATTGAATGCTGTAACTGAGTGATGATTATAGTAGCTGCAGTAGTGGGTTGGTTTTGATTATAAATAAACTACTATTATGTACTCCACATTACCAGGCCTGCTTCCATTAGATTCAGCTTCAGCAGGATGTGCAAACTTTTGCATCTTATCACAGTATGATGTCGGTGAGTATTTGGGAAATAATTGCATACTGCAATATACAAACTCAGAGCTCTATGCAAAACTTGGTTAGTTACGGTAAAAGTTAAAAAAATCATGAACACCATAAATATTTATGGAATGTTACTATGTTCTTGAGGAGAAGCCAATAAGAAGTGAGAAAAGTAAACCACAAACATCAATATTGAGCAGTTTGTAGTATTAAGGTTTACTCCAATGTCCCAGGCCAGGTTGTCCAAAAGTGGGTTAAGTTAATCCAGGCTTAGTGTGAAATATGATTTCGGATCTGAAAGCTTTAAAAAAAATTCAGTCAAATTTCTCTTTGTCTGGAATATGACTATTTGATGCTCTAAAAAGAACACAGAAAACTATTCCAAAATGGCTTTTGAATAAAGGAATAAGGAGACCCAGATTACAATTTAACCTTGAGCTAGTGCTAATTGGCCCTCTAACAACTGGACCCTGAACTTTACTGTGATTGGACAGTACACAGTTGATCTGGTAGAATCAAATCCAAATTTTTATAGTTTCCTTAGTCTCACATCAACAATTTCCCCACCTGGAGTGACCAAAATGGAATTTCTCCTTGAATTTCAATATATTTTCAAGCAGAAAGAAGTCAGGGAGAAGTAAAAACATTAATTAGGAGATATGATTTCATTTAACACAAACCCTCAAAGCTAAAACTAATTAGAAGATATGTATGAATACTGCTTGAAGAATCAGTATTTAGATATCAAGCGTAATTTGGTTAAATAATCTCAGTTTTTAAGTCAGTGCCATGTTTTGACAAAATTAAAGTGCGAGGCAGTGAATCCTATAATATTAACTTGCAAAATTTTTGTGTTGATGTATTCAAAAATGTATTTGTACTAATGGCATGTTTAAATTCTTGATTTTTACCATCTTTCATTCTCTCTGGCTTAAATTAATGAAATTATTGTAACTAATAAAAAATGTCTATACGCCACATGAAATTTATGTTCAGCCCAAAAACCAGAGAAAGTGGATCACATAGATGCAGCAGGTTGCATTGGTGATGTTGTTAGAGCTTACACTGCACTATACTACCAAGCCAGAGTATGTGGAGGAGAGACAATACTGATATTCAACGGGGCCTCAGTGAGTATTTTATACAAAGGAGTTGTTTTTAAAGTCACTGTTTTGGTTTTATTACCATTATTCTTGACATTCAGGCACAGTTTAAGAAAGATTTTATATGACAATTATTTGCCAAAGGAACAGTCAAGGTTTTCAAGTGATTTGCATGACAAAAATACATTTTAATCCAACATTAATCGAAATCAAAAATACAGTTTGATTACCAGGCTCACAGTATGATGGTCATGATATGAATTTCTTTATTTCAGGCCAGTGGTGTTATGGCTATCCAACTTGCCCATATTTGGGGGGCCAAGGTATGGTTGACATAAGACAATTCAGAGTTCTTTTTAATCCTTTTGCAATCTGAGAGCTGACAACGTCAATTTTTAACAAAAAGTAATATTCACTTGTTGACTGAGTGGGAGGGCTGGACAGGAAACTTTTAGTTTGAGGTCATAGAGTATAAACTGAGCACAGTGATGTCCACGCATTATAATCAAGGGTGTTCAAAACATTTTCTGGTCCAGCCCTCCCACTCAGTCAATAAGTAATTTATCATATATCTCCTGCTCTTTCTTTTTTTTTTCCTTTCTTCTTGCCTCTCACATCTTTCGGGGTGAAATGGCCTTTTGTACAGCTATTGGGTGCAGCCCTTACAAGAGGGATTTTGTCTTGTTTTTCCAGCTAGAGTGTTGGTGGGCCATACATTCATATGATAATAGTTGTATTCTCCTCAACATTAATGACAGGTTCTTGCAACAGCATCATCAGAAGAAGAAGTTATTTACCTGCAGAGTCTTCAACCACCACTTGGTAAGGGCATTACTCCACTATTGGGCTAACCATTTGTAATAAAAGGGAAAGTGATATCTGATGGAACGAAAGTCCCCAAGGTTGTGGGCATGTCAAGTGAATTAACAGTCCTGATACATGGCTAACAATATCCCTGCTTCATCCTGTGTCATACATGGATAACAAGATATTTCGAACCATTTCATTCCTTCCCTTCTTTTTTAGGTCACCATCCTGAAAGTAAAAGAGAGTTAGTGTTGAGCTGTCATGTTTTTTAAAACATATGTCCTGAGACATATATCTTAAGAACCATCACTGACAGATGCATTTTTTTATGTAGCAAAAATGTAGAGAACAGTAAGGAGGCTTTCTATTCTTGTGGAGGGTTAACACAATCTCTATGTCTTCTTGTAGCAAATGTAATAGACTTGAGGAAAACAAAGAAGTCATTAGTAGATATTTGTATGGATGAAACTGGTGGACTTGGTGTGGATTGTGTGATTGATAATGGAGGTAAGAGAAAATCACACAAACTCTTGTTGAGAGGGTCAGCCTTAACCCTTTGCAGGAGTTTAGTTTTGGTTTTGAGTGGCCACTTTTCATATTGACCGTTGATGTAATGGGATGCTGGGATTTATTTGTTGTTCTCGCTGTCCAGCAAAATTGTAGATCACTGCACACACTTCAGGTTATTTTTATATGGTACCATTCTGTTAGAACTTAATGAGTTTGAATTAAAATGGTGTCTTCCTTCTGATTTTCATTCCCTACTGGTACATTCATATTAGTTTAAAAAAAAATTTATAGCAGATCTGAAACAAAATTAAATGAACTGTTTAATTTTTAAAATGAACCAATCAAATCTCCTATTGAACAGTTCTTCGTCAAGATGATGATGTTATAATTAAGGGAACAGGCATTGGTCTACCTGGCCAAAATTCAGTGCCATCCAAACATGATGTGATCTCCTGTCTTGGAGTGGCTGGAAGATGGATCACTTCTCATCAAGATCTTCAGGTAAGAATCCTCTAAGGACAATTTTACATTTGTTGCACATTTTTCTTTTCTGTGATCAGCTGCTGTGATTACTTTGGTTTTGATTTTATGATATGCAATCAAAAGGTGCACTTTATTCAAGAGTTTCAGAATTCTCAAACTTTCTTAGCATACTTACTACAATAGACAAGATAAAGTGTAATCTAATTTTTATTTTCCATGTGATCACTAATTGTGAAATACTACTAACCCTTCTCTTACATCCAGTTGGACCCTCCTGATTCTCAGATGCTTTACCTCAAAGGAGCTGCAATCAGTTTTCTCTTTGAACATTCATGGACTTTATCAAAAGGTAGGGATTTATGGAGGACAGTAAATTGCGTGGATGTTCACCTTATTTCAGTCAAACCTGCTTTCATCAGTTGACAATCACTATCGGGAAATGGTTAAGTGATTGCTGAAAAAAGGTTCCCTGGTGCCTTTGATTTACGTTTTGAGTCTGTCCTTTCCTTAGGTCAACAAGGAAGATACCTACGTATCCTTTGCACCCTAACATCAGTATGCATATTCTGTCAACTGTTCTCTTTACATTTCATCAGGTGCTAACATGGAGAATTTGTTTAACGATCAAGAACTTCTTTAGTTAGTGATCGTTTCCTTTATTCTCGTGTGCTTTGTGTTTTATTTAGGGGTGATATTGTAAGGAGAAATTAGATACTAGTCATTCGAAGAAGTTGAAGAGGATGAAACCCACAAGGGGCCTTCTGAGAACCGTTGACTTTCTCACTGTCCTTTTTCTAATCCTTAACATCTGACCTTCGACTGATATCATGAAGTGAAGAAAATATGACCTATGTCTCCCTACAAATAGTGATGTTGCGGTTTAGCCTTCTTTTTCTCGTCGCCGCCTTATTTTGTTCGTGTCTCTTCTGTTTTTTTGTGTTTTTTTTTGGTCCAACGTATCAGAGAGACGTTATTGCTCGTTTTGACCGAAATTTGCCCGTTTTCTCTTAACTTGTGTGAAGACATCCTCCAAGACATAATGGATAAACTGTCTAACTCAGTGATAAGGTAAGAACAGAAGACTTCTTCCCTCAATAGTTTCAAGGGATCAAACAAACTTTACGCGAATCTAAGTTTAAGGGAAGGGGAAAAAGAGGAAAAGAATTATAGAGGAGATAAATGGAGACGGGGAAGATGAACGTTTGAGCCTGACTTTTTTTTAGCATACAACGGTAGATTAATGGTGTGAAATGCGGCAACTAGATAACATGGCTGTAATGACTCCAAGATCGGTCTCAGAGATCTGGTTCTCTCTTTTGATGTCGAAATGCACTCAGGGCGATGTAAACTTCTGGTACGTGAACAGTGCCACAGAGGAAGTGTTACATTTGAGTAGGGGTCGGTTGGGGAAGAGTGCGCAAAGACCAAAGTTCTGCAGCTCTTTTGCTCATAGTGGCAGTTTTTCTAAGATCGTGATTTGAACGACGATTAGACTCAGACGTTTATAACTTAACATACTAGACAATCTATATTAATGTTTTCTTCTTTAGACCGGTCATTCACCATACTGTGTCTCTGGAAGATGCCTGTGAAACCCTGCAGCAACTACCTCAGCACACTGTTGGCAAAATTGTTGTTAGCTTGTAAATATAACAATTCGAGTCTAGAAATAAAGAATTCTATTTTACGTGACACTTCTTCCTTTCCATCTTTGTTTCGGCCGATATAGACTTGTTGACTCGTTTTCATGCAGTCGTTCTTAAGAAGGATATGATGACACTGTATTGCATCGTTTTGTTGCTTATTTGTTTGGGAGTTTATGATGAATAGCTCCCATTTCAGCATACACCGCAATGTTCATGGCATCGCCAATCCTCAATGCCGTTTGTCTTTTGATAGTGGAAATTATAGATAAGGACCATCCACAGCTAATAAGCGCCACACATCATATGCATTGAAGTCGAGCTTTGTGTGCTTGACGACGAACTTCAAGCTCTCTTAGGCCCAGGTCCCTTGATTTTCCTAAAAGTGAGTTCCCTGAGAACGAGGCTGTGCGTAAGCTTTGTTTTGACGAAGCAGAAAGTCTTTTAGTTTCACCTAGAAGGATGTTTTACAGTTTTGGCCTCAGTTAAACGGGCATTACATGTACCTGTCAAACCACGGTAGGATATGTTTTACATGTTCATCAGGTTATAGTTCTTTGGTCCACATTGTCGGAGTTTTAAGGTCCAGTTGACAGCTTTTATTCAAATACTCGACGGTAACCTTCATACTACTGAGCTCTAGTATGAGCATCACTTTTGACATGAAAACAAAACTGTCATCTTCATCTTTAGATCATTTTGCCATAGTATTCCTTATTCCTTCCTTAAATTGTTCTGAGACGTTTCCACTGATGCTTTCACTTAACATGTAATTCGAGAAGAATATTACCATGACGGATTTTCGGTTTCCACAACTTCCGTTATGTATACCTTTAAAGGCAACAGATAAAGGCAAAAACGAATTTTCTTTATTTCTGGATATCATAGCATCATGAAGTTTTATAGAAACGATCTCCATCATGACGTGAAAAGACCGCTTCAATCTATATGGCTTCGTTTCGTGTTTTAATTAAGGGATGAATTATTTATGACCGACTCTTGACAACAAGGAAGCAATAAACATGAAAATTTTGTCATAATTGGTGGAATACGCAGAGAATATAATGGAACATATTTTCTTCAACCCCCGATGACCAACATTTATTTTTCATTTCAAATTGAGAATCTGACTGTATTTTTTTATTCCTAAGAGCAGTCGTAATTATTCCCATACAAGCTCTTATAATTTCGCCATAACTCTCTGACTATCTCACAGCTGGAGCTTGGGCTGGCTGTGAACTAACATGGCAGCTCGATGCGACCGCGCGATTATTATCTAAAAACGTGTATTAAAAGAGTATAACAAAATACAACTTTTATCGAATGATCTCTAGAGTTTCTAGTAACCATACCCACGATATTCATTGGCCCTCTACGCCTGAAAAAGAGGTAAACAAAAAGGAAACACCGAGAGAAAGATTGCAAAATGGCAACAGAATCGACAACAGATTCAAAATATCGATCTTAATGAAATGTTATTTTATGGCGTAATGTTTTGGGAATAAGAAAAAAAGAAAGGCTTTCTAATAAGGTTTATCGCGTTTCCTTCGGTAAATTTTTTGAAAAATTTGCTCAGTCATAACCACATACAGTTCCTATCAAATAGCCTATTTTGTTAAAATCTGCCAGAGCTAATCGAATACATTAAGAAAAATGACAAATTAGAGAATATTATAAAACTGTCAAAGTGTTGTATAATATGACAAAGAATGAAGACATAGCACCATGGGAAAGTAAAGATATTGAGGTATCTAGGCCAAAAATTGGAATACCTCTGCCTGTCATTCGAAGTAATGTTGTCATGGTGACGACTCAAGTCTAAAACTTGATACCCATAGCAGAAGGCGTATTATATCGTCAGCCGAACTAGTAAATATCTTGAGGGAAAACTTTGAGAAAAAGTAACTAGGTTTCCTCTCGTAACTCTCGCTCTGAAGGGAGGTTAACAATACCAGATATAGAGACCTTTTACGATTGCCCCTGGCTAAAACCATCTAAATATCAAGGTTCCCTTCGTTACAAAGGTGCAAAGGCTTGGAATGCTCTGACTAGCAAACTACGAAACACAACTTCTCTACGTAACTTCTCAAACTCCATTTCAGTTATTGATGTAATGTACTTTTTAATGTAACATTGTACATTTTATTATTGTCTATCTTATGTGTAAATTGTAATTTGTGTTGTCGGCTCCTTTTGTATTTTATATTTCTATGTACACTTTGTTTTACTCAGTATGTCCTAATCAGGCCCCTATTTAAACCAGCTTGAAGCTGAACTGGGCCAGCCTGCATAAATATCGCTAATAAACAACGAAGCTACCCTAAGTCAATGATTGGCTTTTTAAAATGTGCTTCCGTACTAGAGCTTTTCCTGGGACCATGAAAAATTTAATAAAATTTCCCGAGACTTTGCACTTTCCTTACATTTTTCTCTTTCAGGTAGTCACACTGAGAGTTTTTAGTATTGTTATATACGAGACTTAGTACAGGAATATAACCAAACTTCTATTGATTCTATTTCCGGACACTTTGACCTATGAGAAAAATGTTTAATTTTTAAAAGTTCTTTGAGAAGTTTCAAAACCTAGCTACGTTCCAAAGGTTCAATCTTTCCCTTGTTTAAGGATCATGATGAAAAAGCCCAGAAACGCAATTGCTTCGAACCTTAAATCCGTCTGAAATTTGAGGGTCGAAAGTAATTCGGCTTGGACCAGTTTTGCTCTAATTCGCCCTATGATTGGTCGAGAAAACACGCAGGGTGCCTGTGTACGCCTATAGATTCCAGCTGAGATATTTTTCCTTTCCTTGGTGTGGTGGCAGTTGTGGTTACTTGACTTTGGTATAACATGGACCCTCGATGAAATTTGAACGCGTTCTATCATGCTCAGTTTTTTCTGTCCATTAGGTGCGACTTATGTAAGTATGCCGAGCGGGTTTCTTGATTTCCCAAGCATATTGAATGTTTTTCATTAGGTTTCGTATTATAATCCATCCATTGTTTAAATCCTGTTTTTGTCTTTTTGTTTTATTTTCAGGTGCACCTAAATTGTCTTCAAACGTTCTCTTACTTTGAATAACGGTAATCATCAAGTCATGCCCACATTAGGAACGTTTCAGTTACTGGTTCACTTACTTTCAATCGCCTAAACAATGACTACTCAGGATAGTCTTTCCTGTGAAGTTTTTCTTGTAGAATTAGTCGAGGATGTTCCTGAAGCTTACACCGATGAAGTTCAGACTCGAGAACCAGTTACTGGAGGAATTGTCCATGGGAAATTTAAGTCACATCATAGGAAACATGCAGCAAAAGCAACAGATCAGGATCAAGAGATGAGACGATCCCAGAGTGTTCTATCTATTAAGGCTTCAGGTTTTCCCATAATCCAGAATGGTTCTAACAACACACTGTGTCATGTGCAGACTTGTAAATGTCGTAACAAGAGTTGTCTCACTTCTTCTGATGAAGAAAACGACTCAGTCATAAAACCCCTGGACATAGAAGAAGACAGTCAAGGCATCCAAGTCGACTTAATATTGGTTCAACTCAGCTCTGTCCATTCTCCAATGCCAGTCATTCCAAAGCGCGGATGTATGAATAATTCCCGTTATATCTCACTCATGACAAAGCTACACGATCTACAAGATAACGGGACGTTTGAGGCACATGAACGAATAATACAAGAAGAGTTGGCAAGAAGGTCGCCTGAAGATGTTGACATGAAAGCAATTTTAGAGATTGAGCGCGCAAAGGCCTTTTATTTCCAGAATAATCTTAAAGGTACCAAAACAATACTAAAATCTGTACTTAAACGGGAACTGCAGATGAAAAACCCGGGAATTCTGACGGGACGAGCCTTGAATCTTTTGACGGCGGTGTACAAGCGTCAGAGAAAATTTGGAAATGCTATGCGATGCGTGGAAAAGGCACAAAAAGCTCTTGACCTTCAGGATTCTCACGACGATAAAGGAGAACTGTGTTACACTCGTGGCGCACTGCTTGACTCTTTACCTGCACCGAACAGTGCTCGGGACACCCGAAAAACTGAAGCGTACAAGTCTTATCAGCGGGCATGTCAGTACTCTGTAAACAACAATGGATACATCAACACCAAAATGGCAGATCTGCTCCTAAAGCACTGCTTCAAGGTAGCGAACAACGACACCGACATCTGCAAAGAGGACGTTATGAAAGCAAAAAGGCACCTTGATTTAACTGAATCTAGAACGGCTGATGGTAACATGGGATTAGGGACAAGAATAAAGTATCTTCTTTTGCGATCTGATCAGCACTACTTTGAACAAAACATTGCTATGGCTCTCGAGAAGGCTGAAGAAGCGATGGGGCTCATCCTCGCACATAGGTTTGAGCTGGAACTTGATTCTGCCGAGAAGCGCATTAGGCGCTTGTCTGATATGCAAGGGCTAGAAAAAGGGGAATGGCTCAGCAGTGAATCGTGTTCAAGCAGTGAAGATCAAACTGATAGAGAAGGGGACAGCTCATCTCTTGAGTAATGAACACAATGTCGAGATCACTACTTAAAGAGTGCGGGAATTTTGATTAAAATATTGGCCATTTTACGGTTAATATCTTGGTTTCTGTTACGGTCAACAGAAATGTTAAAAATTAATTTTTAATTGTTCTAAAACACATTTACTCGCTTGTGTTTATCATTAGAGCGAAGGAACAAGGGTAATTCCAGATCGAGCTGCTGTTGAGTTGATATAGAATAATTTCCAGTTATCCCACAATGGCCACAATTCACAAGCCAAGACACAGAACAGTCTGAGTTTTGACACTTTCAAAATAGTCCGGAAGCCAAGACCTCAAAATGAGGGTTTTGTACAATGATCGGGTCAGAAAAGGTTTGATAGCGGATTTTTATAGAATAAGACCTGCTGATTAATATCATTTAGTTTGTAGAGTTGAATTGTGGTATAGGTTCTGTGTTAAGGGGGTGTTTTCATGCGAAACCCCCTAAATTCGCGGAAACGAGGCTCAGTCATTTAACCACTAATACTGCCTAAATGTAACGTTTATTAGTGCACGTTACATCTTTATAATACGAATCCCAATCAGAGTATGCAAAATTAGGTCACGTGACCGAACACGTGACAAGGAGAGACCAAAAATGGCCTTTAACAACTGAAAGAGCAGATTTAAGCGTCTCAACTGTCACACATTTAAAGATTATCAATTGATATTCTGCTATTTGCTTACTTTACACAGTTCTAGCTAAATTCTAGCTTGTTTAGCCTGAAACAACGAAATAGTTACCATTTTTGTTCCATTTACTAGTCAACATGAAAGCGAGGCTCAACAAGGTAACTATTGTGTATGGCTGTATCATAGGTTGTTAAGGAAGAAAAACTTCTGATATCGATAATTACCTTTTAATGATATAAGGCACAGTCATACTCAAACAATACAAAGTAATGTGACGTGACTGTACACGTGACATCCGAGAGGCCGAAAAAAAGTCCATTTAATTGCTTTATTTACAAATAGCCTATTAAATCTCCCTCACTTGCGTGAACGTACTACTACTACTACTAATACTACATCCTCTATAGGTGCAAAAATCATTGCAAACAGTAGAAGCCCCAGTACTGACCCCTAAGGCACACCATAGAGCACTTTTTCTTCAGACGATGATGACACATCTTTAACTTCGTCTGACTACGTACGATCACGAAGATAAGGAGCTGAATCATTGAGGAGCGGACTTACCAATTTCATAACGATGTTGAAATCTCTTTAAAAACAGCGTATGATCTATGGTATCAAAGGCTGATGATACTGAAACCCAATAAACAAGTACCACATCCTGGTGATTATCGATGGCAGCCAGTATATCATTGAACACACGCTAGAGATCTATTTTAACACTATAGAGACATCTACAAGCTGATTGTTGCCTGGGAAGAAGATTATTAGTCATGAGATAATTTATAATTTATAAACTTTTCTAGCATTCTTACTAAAATGGACATGATAAGGTATTCTCTGCTTTTTATTTTCTATGTGATTAATAATTTGTGAAATATTACTACCCCTTCTCTTACATCCAGTTGGACCCTCCTGATTCTTAGATGCTTTACCTTGTTACAGTCAAACCTGTTTTTATCAGTTGACAATCACCATTAGGAAATGGTTAAGTGATTGCTCAAAAAAGGTTCCCTGGTCCTTTCCTTAGGTCAACAAGGAAGATACCTACGTACCCTCTAACCCTTTACACCCTAACATCAGTTTCTCACGAATCTAAGTTTAAGGGAAGGGAAAAAAGAGAAAAAGAATTATGGAGGAGATAAATGAATTTAGGGGGGTAAGTTTCTAAAGAAACTATGGTGCTGCGTCGGTGGGAGAGTATAGTCGTCAGAACGATTGACGAAGGGCTAACGCTCGAAACGTCAGCTTTTTTTTATCCTTTACGGCGGCCAATGTACGTTTTCAACTCAGTTGTTAACACTAAATTACCTGCTATGGAGAAGATAAACGGAGACAAGGGGAAAATGAACGTTTGCGCCTGACTTTTTTAGCATACAACGATAGATGTATGAAATGCACGGGATCTAGATAACATAGCTGTAATTACTCCAAGATCGGTCTCAGAGATCTGGTTCTCTCTTTTGATGTCGAAATGCACTCAGTGCGATGTAAACTTCTGGTACGTGAACAGTGCCACAGAGGAAGTGTCACATTTGAGTAGGGGTCGGTTGGGGAAGAGTGCACGAAGACCAAAGTTCTGCAGCTCTTTTGCTCATAGTTGCAGTTCTTCTAAGATCGTGATTTGAACGACAATTAGACTCAGAATTTCATAACTTATCATACTAGACCAGCAATATTTCTTCTTTAGACCGGTCATTCACCATACTGTGTCACTGGAAGATGCCTGTGAGACCCTGCGGCAACTACCTCAGCACACTGATGGCAAAATTGTTGTTAGCTTGTAAATACAACAATTCGAGTTTAGAAATAAAGAATTCTATTTTACATGACACTTTCTCCTTTCCGTCTTTGTTTCGGCCGGTATAGACTTGTTGACTCGTTTTCAGTCGTTCTTAAGAAGGATTTGATGACACTGTACGCATTTATTGCATCGTTTCGTTGCTTATTTGTTTGGGAGTTTATGATGAATAGCTCCCATTTCAGTATACACCGCAATGTTCATGGCATCGCCAATCCTCAATGCCGTTTGTCTTTTGATAGAGGAGATTAAAGATAAGGACGTTCCACAGCTAACGAGCGCCACACATCATATGTACGCATTGAACTCGAGCTTTGCGTATTTGACGGCGAACTTCAAGCTCTTTTAGGCCCAGGCCCCTTGATTTTCCTGAAAGTGAGTTCCCTGAGAACGAGGTTGAATGGAAGCATCGTCTTGACGAAGCAGAAGGTCTTTAAGTTTTACTCAGAAGGATGTTTTACATTTTGGGCCTCAGTTAAACGGGCATTACATGTACCTGTTAAACCACGGTAGGTTATGATTTACGTATTCATTAGGTCATACATCTTTGGTCCACATTGTCGGAGTTTTAAGGTCCAGTTGACAGCTTTTATTCACATACTCGACGGTAAGCTTCATACCACTGAGTTCGAGTACGAGCGAATGACTTATCCCATAGAAAAAATAACATCACTGTTGACATGAAAACAAAACTGTCATCTTCATCTTTAGATCATGTTGCCATAGTTATTCCTTAAATTTTACAGACATTTCCACCGATACTTAAATTTGACATGTAATTCGAGAAGAACATGGCGATTTATTGCTTATTACCAGGGCGGATTTTCAGTTTCCATAACTTCCGTTATGTATACCTTTAAAGGCAACAGATAAAGGCTAAAATGGATTTTTTTATTTCTCGATATCATGACATCAAGAAGTTTTACAGGCATGATCTCCATCATGACGTGAAAACTTCCAAGACCGCCACAATCTATAAGGCTTCGTTTCGTGTTTTAATTAAGGGATGACTTAATTAATAAGTTTCTAAAGATACTGTGGTGCTACGTCGGTGGGAGATTAGAACAGGGTAATTTAGTGTTATCACCTGAGTTCAAAACGTAAATCGGCCCCCGTAAAGAGTTTAAAGGCTAATGTTTCGAGCGTTAGCCCTCCGTCAATCGCTCTGACGAAGGGCTAACGCTTGAAAAGCCAGCCTTAAAACTCTTGACGGTGGCCAAGTTACGTTTTCAACTCAGTTGATAACACTAAATTACCCTGATGAATTAATTAGGCGATTTGTGACCAAGTCTTTCGACTAGATAGTGATCGACTCTTGACAACACAGACACGATAAACATGAAAATTTTGTCATAATTGGAGGAGCACGCAGAGAATGGAGCATATTTTCTTCAACCTCTGATGACCTACATTCATTTTTCATTTCAACCTTTCATTTTCGACCACTGAGTCATAGCCGTCATAGGCTCAAAGGCTCTATATTAGGCTCATTATGGTTTTGAACCGCGCGAGTTCTGGACGCGAACAAAAAATGTTAACATGCAAAATAAACCACACGTGGCCCAAGAGAGACCCTCTTCTGTGCCTAGTAAACCTAAAACTAAATAACTCGCTAATCAAATTTGGAAATGGGTTCTTTTCATCATAATAAGCTGTCAGATAACAAGCGATGCATTGTGGAAGTAAGTTGAGGTATTTTTATTGAGAAATTGATTGTATTATTTTACTCCTAAGAACGGTCGTAAATATTTCCATACAAACTCTTATAATTTCGCCGTGACTCTTATTTCGCAAGATGATTGTCTCATAGCTAAAGCTTGCGCCGCCTGTGAACAAATATGGCGATGCCATCGCACGATTGTTATCTAAAAAGGTGTATTAAAAGAGTTCAAAACAATACAGTTTTTATCTAATGGTCTCAAGAGTTTTTAGTAACCATACCCACGATATTCATTGGCCCTCTACACCTGAAAAAGAGGTAAACAGAAAGGAAACACCGAGAGAAAGATTGCGAAACGGCAACAGAATCGGCAACAGAGTCAGCAACAGATTCTAAAGTTTACGCATGCTCAGATATTGATCTTAGCGCAGTGTTATTTTATGGCTTAATGTTTTGAGGGTAAGGAAGAGGGAGTCTTTCTAGTGGGGTTTATTGGCCTAGTCGTAACCACATACAGTTCCTATCAAATAGCCTATTTTTTGTTAAAACCTGTCGGAGCTAATCGAATACTCTTAGAAAAATGACAAATGAGAGAACATTGCAAAACTGTCCGAACAACCTTGAGTTTTACCTTTTCCAAAGGTCAGCAATATCATTTCTATAATGTAACAAAGAATGAAGACATAGAACCATGGGAAAGTAAAGATATTGAGGTATCCAGGCCAAAAATTGGAACACCTCTGCCTGTCATTCGAAATAATGTTGCCATGGTAACTTCTTAAGTCTAAAAAAGATACCCATAGCAAAACACTTTTTTATATCGTTAGCCGAACTAGCAAATATCTTGAGGGAAAACTTTGAGATAAATTAACTAGGTTTCCTCTCGTAACTCTCGCTCTAAAAGGAAGTTTACAATACTTGATACAGAGACCTTTTACGATTACCCCTGGCCAAAACCATCCAAATATCAAGGTTCCTTTTGCTACAAAGGTGCAAAGGTTTGGAATACTCTGACTAGTAAACTACGACACATAACTTCTCTAACTAATTTCAAGAAACTTCTCAAACTTCATTTCAGTAACTGATGTAATGTACTTTTTAGCCTAATGTATTTTGTATATCTTGCGTGTAAATTGTAATTTGTGTTGTCGGCTCCTTTTGTATTTTGTATTTCTATGTACACTTTGTTTTACTTAATATGTCCTAAGCAGGCCCCCATCTAAACAAGCTTGAAGCTGAGCTGAGCCAGCCTGCTTAAATATCGCTAATAAATGAATGAATACTCAAAGAAGCCATCTTAAGTCAATGATTGGCCTTTTAAAATATGCTTCCGTACTAAAGTTTTTCTCAAGTCCATAACAAATTTAAAAAAATTCCCCGAGACTTTGCGCTTTCCTTATATTTTTCTCTTTCAGGTTGTCACACAGAGAGCTTTCAATATTGTTCTATGCGAGATTTTCAACAGGAACCAAACTGCTATTGATTCTATTTCCAGACACTTTGACCTATGAGAAAAATGTTTAACTTTTTAAAGTCCTTTGAGAAGTTCCTAAACCCAACCAGCTCGGACCTTACATCCGCATGAAATTTTAGGGTCAAAAGTAATTCGGATTGGACTGGTTTTGCTCTACTTCGCTCTATGATTGGTCAAGAAAACATGCGCTAACTTTTCGTCCAATCAAACTAATTTCTGGGCAGTCAGGGTGCCTGAGTACGCCTATAAAGTCTAGCTGAGGTATTTTTTCTTTCCTCAATGTCGTGGCAGTTGTGGTTACTTGACTTTGGTATAACATGGACCCTCGATCGAAATTTGAACGCGTTTTATCATGCTCAGTTTTTTCTGTCCTGTTAGGTGCGACTTATGTAAGTTTACCGAGTGGGTTTTCTGACTACCCAAGCATTTTGAATGTTTTTCATTGGATTTCGTATTATATATCCGTCCATTGTTTATCACCCGTTTTTGACTTTTTATTTTATTTTCAGGTGGAACTAAATTGTCTTCCAACGTTAACTTACTTCGAATCACGGTTATCATCAAGTCTTGCCCACAGTAGGAAAGTTTCAATTCCTGGTTCACTTACTTTCAATCGCCTAAACAATGATTACTCAGGATAGTCTTTCCTGTGAAGTTTTTCTCACAGAATTAAACCAGAGTTTTTCTGAAGCTTTCACCGAAGAAGTTCAGAATCGAGAATCAGTTAGTGCTCTTTCTAATGACAAAAGGATCCACCTTCTCCTAGAAGAACGAATTGTCTATGGAAAATGTGAATCACATCATAGGAGAGGTGCAGCAATGGCAACAGATCAGGATCAAGAGATAAGACAATCTCAGAAAGTTCTATGTATCAAGGTTTCGGGTTTTTCCATAATCCAGAATGGTTCTAACGCCACACTGTGTCATGTGCAGACTTGTAAATGTTGTAACAAGAGTTGTCTCACTTCCTCTGATGAAGAAAACGACTCAGTCACAAAAACTCTGGACATAGAAGAAGACAGTCGAGGCACCCAAGTCGACTTGATATTAGGTCAACTCAGCTCTGTCCATTCTCCAATGCCAGTCATTCCAAAGCGCGGATTTATGAATACTTTCGGTCATATCCAACTTGTAACAAAACTATACGATCTACGAGGTGAAGGGAGGTTTGAGGCACATGAGCAAATGATACGAGAACAGTTGGCAAAGAAGTCGCCTAAAGATGTTGACATGGAAGCAATTTTAGAGATTGAGCGCGCAAGGGCCTTTTATTTCCAGAACAATCTTAAAGGTACCAAAAGAATACTAAAATTTGTACTTAAACTGGAACCGCAATTGAAAAACCCGGGAATTCTGACGGGACGAGCCTTGAATCTTTTGACGGCGGTGTACAAGCGTCAGAGAAAATTTGGAAATGCTATGAGATGCGTGCAAGAGGCAAAAAAAGCTCTTGATTTTCAGGATTCTCACGACGATAAAGGAGAACTGCATTATAGTTATGGCGCACTGCTTGACTCTTTACCTGCAGCGAATATTACTCAGGACACCCGAAAAACTAACGCGTACAAATCTTATGAGCTGGCATGTCAGTACGCTGTAATCAACCGAGAATACATTAATATCAAAATGGCAGCTCTGCTCCTAAAGCCCTGCTCCGAGGTAGCGAACAACAACACCCACATCTGCAAAGAAGACGTCATGAAAGCAAAAAGGCACCTTGATTCTACTGAATCTAGAACTGCTGATGGTAAAATGGCGTTAGGAACAAGAATAAAGCATCTTCTTTTGCGGTCTGATCAATACTGCTCCGAACAAAACAATGCCATGGCTATCGAGAAGGCTGAAGAGGCGAGGGTGCTCATCCTCAGACATGGGTTTGAGCTGGAACTTGATTCTGCCGAGAAGCGCATTAGGCGCTTGTCTGATATGCAAAGGCTAGAAAAAGGGGAATGGCTTAGCAGTGAATTGTGTTCAAGCAGTGAAAATCAAACTGATAGCGAAGGGGACAGCTCATGTCTTGAGTAATGAACACAATGTCGGGATCTCTGCTTAAAGAGTGCGGGAATTTTGGTTGAGACGCACTTGACAGGACAAGATGATTTTGGCTGAGTCGCACATGGGTCAAATTTTAAAGTAAAAGAGAAAATAAAAATGGCGAATGATAGTACAGACGAACCTTCGGACAATTAAAAAAAATGCATTAGAAACAAAATTTTAAACTTCTCCTCTGTCGCTGGAACAGGGTGCGAAATGCTCCTCAAGCTGAAGAAAACGCTTTTGTCACAAAATCAGTTAGGAATGCACATATTACATATGTGTACGACTGTGGATATTCAACTTAACTAAACTAAAATATGTATGTCAAGATACGTTTTAACTGAGCTTTTGAAATTAATAAAAGTATTTGATAAGCAGATGCTGCTTGGCATCGAAATAGATTGCTTTAGTGCTGCTGTTTAAGCCCTTGAAAAAAAGTTCAAAGAAGTTTTTTATTGAAAAGATACGTTTTAACTGAACTTTTGAAGTTACTTAAAATTTGATAAGCAGATGCTGCCAGGCACGAGTTTTATAGTTTTGGTGCTGCTGTTGTAGGGGCCAGCAACGTTTTTAAGTTTTTACTTCTTACAGGACAGCCTCAAAATCCCTTAGCTATAAACTAAACTTGGCAAAAAAAAGCTATAAACGACGCTCAAGCAATGCACACGGCGTGGGAAACTCCGCCCTAGGAAAACTCTCAGCGGCGCTATAGACCGTAAGTAAATTCAACGAATCGTACAGAAGTAATAAGAGTATGCACCGAACACCCGCAGTCAGATTGACTGATGTAGTTTCTGATCTTACCAATGTTCTTCAAAGCAAGATGACCAGAATTACAAATGTTGTCAACATGTTTTGTCATTTGAAGATGCGAATCAACAATGACTCTCAGATCACGAACAGTTAGTGAAGGTGCAATATTTACATTGTTTATATTATGTCCAAGAATTTTTCCATGATGCTTTGCAAACTGCGATGTTGAATGTAGAACTTCTGTTTTGCCTGGATTGCGAGCAAGTCCATATTTTGTACACCAGATGAGGATACCATTATGCACGACTCAGTTTTGGAAATAATGAGAGAGCGATCATTCTTGAGTATCCAGAAGAATCGCGAACTCTTGGACAAAGGTGCTATGATCGTTAAGGGATAATTTAGTTTTATCAACTGAGTTGATAACGTAAATTGGCTACCGTAAATAGTTACAAAGTTGACGTTTCGAGCGTTGGCCCTTCGTCAGACCGGGATTAAAACTTGCGAGGTAAACTGTATTGTCCATAGGAATACAGTTGAGTCCCTTGTGTGATTGGTGATGATGCTGATTCAAATTAGTGAAATGCCTTCTCTCTGAAATGTGCACAGAAATATTGAAATTGACAAGTGGAGTGGAACTGACTGATCGCTTAATGCTTGATTTTCTCTACAGGTTTGCCCGTTTTCTCTTAACTTGCGCGAAGACATAATGGATAAACTGTCTAACTCAGTGATAAGGTAGGAACACGAGGCTTCTACTCTCTTACTAATGCGGTTGAGAGATAAAACAAACTTTAAATTTAAAATTTATTATTAAGGAATAAGAAAAGGGGAAAAGAGAGAATAGGAAAATGGCGAAGATTACAATGAAGTTTTGCGGGAACTTTAAAGATTTAAGCTTAACTTTTTCGGCATACAACCGAAGAGAAATGGAATTGTGAAATGCGCGAGGTCTAGACAACATCTAGCAGAGTGCGAGGGGGTCGGGTGGGGGAGAGGGCGAGGGGGTCGTGTGGGGAAGAGCGCGAGGGGGTCGGGTGGGGCAGAGGGCGAGGGGGTCGGGTGGGGTAGAGTGCGCCAAGAATAATTTTCTGCGATTCGTTTGCTCCTTTTTGAAGAGGACAGAAAGGGCAAAGTTCTGCAGCTCTTTTACTCATCATTGCAGTTCCTCTAAGATCGTGGTATAAACAATTCAGGCGTAGAATTTTATAATTTAACATACTAGACCAGCTATGTTAATGTTGTCTTCTTTAGACCGGTCATTCAGCATACTGTGTATCTGGAATATGCCTGTGAAACACTCTGGCAAATATCTCAGCATATTGTTCGTAAAATTGTTGTTAGAATGTAAATATAACAATTTGAATGTTGGGGTGAATAATTTGTTTGTCTTACAATTCTTATTGTCTTTCTTTGATCCGGCTGCTCGGAGGTTGACTTGTCTTCATTCGTTTCTAAGAAGGATTTGACGATGCTGTATGGTATCATTTGGTCTTTTATTGTTTGTCTGTGATTTGTTTATTTTATACTGAATGGCTCCCATCTCAGCATATGCCGTAATCTTCATGATATCACCTTCCCTCACTGCTTTTTGCCTTTGGATAGCGGAAATGTAAATAGGGACTAAGAGACGAATCCTCGATATACCTTTTTATGTTCCGCCATCGATGAGTGGTGTGCAGACGAAGACATCTGTACGCATTGCGGTCCGGCTTTACCAGGCTCTCCTTCTTGCTAAATGAGAGGCCCTTGGGAACGAGGTTGGAAGGAAATTTTGTATTCACGAAACGGAAGGTCTGTGAGTGTTTCAGCGCGGAGATGTTTAACATTTCGTGCTTCATTTCAACGGATATTACTTGTTAAACCACGGTAGGTTATGTTTGACGTCTTCATTAGGTCATACTTCCTAAGTTTATGGTTCCAGTTGACAGCTTTCATTCACGCGCTCGACAATTCGGGCGAAAAATTTCCGCATAAACAAAATGGTATCACTGCCGAAATGAAAACAAAATTTTCATCTTCAACTTAAGATCATGATCAGTGATCCCCATAGCGTGCAGTGGTGTTTTAACCGATGCTATGGTTCACAATCAAAATCGAAAGGAAAAGGAATTTTAATTGCTGTTTAACAGGAAGGAACGTTCAGTCCTCACAACTTCCGTTTTGTGTACTTTTAGGGTTTCAGATAAATAAGCCAAAATGGATATTTGTCTTGCTCTTGTTTTCTGACCCGATACCATAACATAATGTTGGTTTACAGGCATGGTCTCCATCATGGCGTGAAAATTTTTAAGAACGCCACAATCTATAAGGTTCAGTTTCATGTTTTAATTAAGAGAAGAATTTATCAGGCGATTTGTAACCAAGTCTTTCGACTTAAAAGCGTTTGATTCTTGACAACACAGACGCCATACATTAAAGATGATTTTCCAGAACTGATGGAATACGCACAATATTTAGCGTATTTCTTCCAATGATTTTGACGTGTTAACAAACAAATACTTCCTCCTTCGCTATCTCAATCACTCGTGACCGACCTTTTTAAAAACCATTCATTTTTGATGCGGTCAAAGAAGGTTTAAGTAAATAATTAACTTTTTCAAAATATGTGCCCGTTATAAACCTTTTTTTCAGCCCAGATAACAGATTTAAAAACAAGGTATGGTGTTGACCGCAATATACATCGTTTTGTTTGCCCTATCGCGCGGTACTGGGTTTAATTTGCTTATTATGGTCTGGACGATGAGCCTTCAGTTAGTTGATTTCGCGTTTTTCGTTTCCTTCAGGCCCATAACTCCAGTAAGTAGTGTTTCGTTTCCTGTTTGTTTCTTTTAGTTTCCTTTATTCGAATCTTATTGTTTCCTTAATTCTTCTAGTCAAACCAGATCTTACGAGTCATATGATAAAGATTATACGCATTGACAGATCAAGTCGAATATTTATCTACATAGGGAAAAATCAGTCCTAACTTTTAAAACGTCTTAGCTCCTCTAATTTTGAAACCGGCTTTGTCGAGACCGCAGACTTTCCTACGATTTTCCTCTCTCAGGTTGTCACACACAGAGCTTTGAGTTTTGTGATATGTGAGATATAAAATACATTTTTATTTCCGGACACTATGACCTTTGATTAGAATCTTTAACTTTTTCAAAATCCTTCGAGAAGTTTCTTCACCTTACTATGTCCCCAAAGGTTCAATCTTTCTTCTTCCTAGGGATCATGATGAAAAAACCCAGAGACGCAGTTGCTTTGAACTTTACATTTAACAGTTAAAATTTGTCATTTTTTACGCTTGATGGCTAAACTTTGGTTTGCTGTTTTAAGGCTAACGGTTAACCCCGATGAGAAGCACTTGACAGAACAAGATGATTTTGCCAGAGTTGCACATGGGCCAAATTTAAAGTAAAATATAAAAAAGAATGGCGAATAATAGAACAGACGAACCTCCAAATAAAATCCTTTTTTTAAAACAGCATGCGAAACTCTCCTCAAACTGAAGAAGACGCGTTTTTCACGATATCGCTCAGGAATCATATCATACGTCTTTTTCCCTTCGTGTATACAATGATGTAAGAGCCTCATCTTCAAATCAGAACTATTTCAAACATGAACTCGTGATATAACAATGATCAATTCAGTTTCTATTTGTTTGGGGAAAATGCGTCTTGCATCAGCAAACCTCGGGAATCCCCAGCGTCACTTTAACTGAATAGAACTTAAGTCACGCAACGGTCTAAAGGTGAAGAAAGGAGGGTGTGAATTGTCAGAGCATGTCATTGTTTGAGTTAACAAATACAAGAAAAAAAGAAATGAATAAAAGTGCAAAGGCTTTACTGTTCTAAATTAAACTTAAGTTTATTGGCTTACGTACTTTGATGTTATTGAGGAACATTAAAGTACATAGGCCAATAACTGTCATCTGTGATGTTTGACCAGCCTCCAGCTCAGGAAAATGAGCCAGCAGAGGTTAATGAAGAGTGACGAGAAGGTTGCTATTGAAAGCCCTGAAATACTCCGTTTAAAAAAAAGAAAAATGCGTTTTACTGTTTCTTTCTCCATGCACAAAGTTACTTCTTGCGTGACTGCTACTGGGTAACCCATCGGGTCACGTTTAGCAACTTTCCTAAAAATATATGCCTAAATGCATAAAAACTGCTTTTAAATCAATTGCAGTTTCATAATGAACTCGTGATAAAGTAGTGACTCATTCCATCTCGAACTGATTTGTGGTAATGAGTTTGGAACCATACACAAAACTTGGGGAATCCCCTGCGTTAAGTTTGTGCGCAAATTGATACGCACTTCTCTAAAGATGATATTTTTCTCGTCATTGTAAACCTCCACGAAGTTTCGTATCATTAAAAAAGACTGGATTTAAATTTTCACTTCCACGGAATGCATCTTTAATTTAGGCGAGAACATTACTTGTTGTTCTTCTTAATTCCATGATCTTCCCAGAAACAGGAACCGGAATAAATTCCGTCACATGAGAGATCATATGACTCCTTGTGAATGGCGTAGTAATCTCGTAATGCGATACACCTTCCTGCCTTTCCACGAAGAATCATAATAATAGTATTACCGCGTGGTATAAAGTTCCATTACATTAGACAATACTTCATCAATCGTGTGTATCGAATCAAGAGGGAAAACTACTCAGCGCAGTGCGCTAAGCAAGATTTTCCAGCGGGTCAACTATTAAGGTGAGAATACTGTGCAGACGAATTTTGATTTAACGGGATCAAGATTTGTGCAACATTTTCGTTTTGTAGAATTGCGTGCTCTATTGACATGTTTTCTCCACAAACTATCCCACAGCCCTTCTTCTAAAGTAAAATCTTCGTTTAAAAATCCATTCAAAGGTTTGTTAAAATGGAAAGCACATCCAAATGATCCGTGGTGAATTTTTAAGTAGACCCCTTGATTATTAATTATGATGCAATTTTCGATGCTTGGCCTCGGCCATCAAACACATGCTATTGTCCATTTACCATAAGTTTCAGTTTCCTGCGATGAAAAAGGGTCAATCTTTATTTTAAGAGAAATTCGCAAAGCAGACAGTTTCTCCTCTGTTGCACTGAAACGACTAGTTCAGTAGCATTTCCGTAATACATTGTCATTCCGGGGCTAGTCCAAATCTAGTAGTCCATCGGGGTAGTCCATGGACTTAGGGTCTATGTTTTGTTCATCACCCAAGAAATCGAAGGGAAAGTGTTTAAACCGATATCCGAAGTTGACTACGTAAGCAAAATTTTGAAGCTGACCGATATGGATAGACGAATGCACAGTTATTTGCTTCCGCTTTCCACAATTATGCCGCAGATACGTTTGTCGAGTTCGTTATGGACCCATTTTCCAAAAGCGACCGGTTATCGAACATGATAGTGGAAATAGTGAAAAGAGATCATTGCGATGTTTATTTTTTTCTTCCTAATCAATTTTTCTCCGTCACATTTTATCTCTTTACCTCCAAACCGGAAAAAAATAACATTTTCCTATTAAAGTACTTATTCATACTCAAATCGTCCTTTAAAAGTTGGAAGCGATTGTGACTAGGCTTCCACAAGTTGCAAAGTGCAACAAATTGCACATTTAACATGAGGAGCGATGAGCTCTAGTGTTGTTCAAAATTAACGTACTAAATTAATCATACAGTCAACAAGGCCTCCTATATTTCCCCTCTGCATAGTAAAAAATACATATATTACTCCATCCTCCTCTGTACAATGTAACTGGTACCATCCTTAGTTATCAGTAGAGATAAAGTGAAGTGTGTCATCAACAGATAGTGTCTTCAAGAAAGAGGTGTGACAATGGGAAGTTGCTGCTGCACTGCACCACAGCACCAACCTCCTGAACATCGGAACAAGCCACTGGTACGAATGTGTTCATCAGGAAATCACTTTCCCAACTTTGCTGATATTGGAGATAAAATTGTCCTTTTTGTTGATTTTGGCAACAATTTTAAGCCACTCCCTCGCAGAAATCAGGGTCATTCTTTAGGCGGGGCTACTGCAGGATTGCAGTGGCCTGATCAGCGTCACCATGGTGAGGAGAATACACAATATGAGGTGAGACTTAAGAAGTTTTTGTCAAACTTGGTGTTCTAGAGTTAACAAAAATTTTACTACATGTTGAAGGTGGTCTTCCAATAAAATTCTAGTCATTAATATACCCACAAGGAGAAAACCTAAAACACCCAACCAACAGGCAGTAATCGTCCAACAGCTTCTTTAATAGGATGACATCCAAATGGTATTTTATGACCCCATAGACTATGATACCTTTTCTACCATAAACCATTACTCTCTATGACATGAGTGCAGCATTTAAGGTTGAAAAGTGATTTCATTTCTTTTTTTATGATTAAAAGCTGAAGATTTCTATTGGGTGTTGGTTAATAAAAGCAAGACACAAGTCAGCTCTCATGCATGGAAATCAAGAGAAAATAATTATTTCCTATTTTTAGTTTAAATCTACTACTCATTCAAAACCTAACAAGAAGGCAGGTTTATGTTTTTATCATATTATTTTACATTAACTCAGTGGTAGACTACACACTTAAATCACTATCCATTGACATATTTAATCTGATTTGTGAAAAAATGGTCTAGGCTTAATTCCTCCACATTAACCCACTTAGGATGAGCTAGCCTGTTTTATCTTAGGCACCCCACCTTCATGTATCATTATTATCATCAGCAATATTATAACCATGATAACTTTGTTATTTTAGAATTTGTAGCTTCCCCTGCTTACTGGTAGAGTGATTCTTAAAATTTTTGTTGCAGATAAAGTTTGCAGGACTCCAAGCTTTCTTGAAAAGGATAAAACCAAAAGAGGAAAATTGTACAAGTTACCGCTCAGAAGTAAAACTTTTAATGACAGATGACATTCTAAGAGCGCCTGGTGGGTTGGTGAAATTTACTATACCATACTGTGACAGTGAGGGTCAGTATTTGGGCGTAGTTACTGAACAAGATCATGAATATGATGCCAGTCACAGAGTCTACAATCGTAAGTACCCATCAGCTATCAAAAAACTTTGGCTGTTATTATAAGTATAGTGATGAGGTGTGGAGGAATTTGTTTTCTGAAATTGACAATGAATGTAATTCTCCTTGTTCCTATTACTATCCAGCTACTTTGACCTCGAAAGATGAAAGAAGAAGTGTAGATTTCAGCCATCACAGCTACTATTTGTGTAGCACATGGCAACTACTTTTGCAATTAATGGGTAGAACATACAAAAAACTGTAAATTATGAAATTTTCAGATCCAATATGGGATGAATTAATAGTACATAACGGGGAAATAAGAGATGATATTCAGTGTCGTACATCAACAAGACTGGTTGAAGGGACATATGGTTCCATGGCACGACGTAGAGCCAGAGAATCTGCAGTTATAGAGGGACCAATGGATCAAGAAGATGCTGGAGCTGAAACAGGTGGTAGTTCAGAGCATTTAAGTGCAACACATGAACTGGACCCTCTGCTAGGGGTAAATATCAGAACTTCTCTATATGTGGAGAAAGATGTTTGTTGTCTTGTCACGAGGGAGGGAGAAAGAAAAAATTCTGAGTTCCCATAAAGAATTGAACCTCAGACCTTCAGATTCCATGCTCCAATACTTTACCACTGAGCCACAGAGACTCTTCAGTGAGTGAGGTCTATCACAAAGTTCATATGACATGCATCCTGCATACTGCTAGAATCAGCAATGTCAATAGCGTCATGTTTGTAAATAGAATAGGAAAATTGGTCTCTCCTATTCTATTTTTTGCATTGTGCCTCACAAATGTTTTCTTTAGATATTTACCTGACAATAAGTCTTGCAGATTCTTTTGACATTTAAGTGACCAAAACATCTTGCTCTTAATTTTACATCAGTGATCCTGCAGAAAAGAAAACTTACTGAATTGATTAAGTCATCATCTTCTTTCCCTTTTAAAAGTCTAGTTCATATACCTCAACCATATTTCATGATTGAAAATGTCATATCAATAAGAGAGTTACAGATCAATTTAAGATCAAGTCAGTATAAAAACAGTATATCTTTAAACTAACTTACAGATCTCCTTTGTTTTCATAGCAACCACCGCGTGCCAAACGTTACTGGCCAGATTCCTGGGAGATGTCTTGTTGGCGGCCTTGCTGTGATCCAATCCTGCGTTCAGAAAACTGGTTCACAAGATTTTTGGCCATGTTCTTTGTGGCACCATTGACCAATGTAACTGGTTTAAGTCTGTACTATCAACTGTACCTTGTTGAAATATTTCACTTGAGATTTAAAACAAAGCTTGGACACTATTTATTCATGGTAGGTTTGAAAAAAGTATAGTGTCTTGCATTAGATTAATATGGACTTGTCCTACAGACTCCAACAATATGTAGTGCCCTTCCTCTTTTCATTAACTGGTAACTGTGGAATGGCTCTAGCTTACTTTGATTGTAATTCTAGGTTTGGTTTAATTGTGGCTGTAATTATGGTTATCACATACACTCTAATTATGAATACATGGTAATCCCATTACCAAAATTCTGGTGTAAATAATTCTGTGTAATGTAAGACCCAGTATTGGCCAGTATGAATTGAGCACCTCTGTTTTTGTTATGTTTTTTCCAAGAAGTCAAGGCCAGTATTATTTTCCACAAGCTTGTGGAAAAATCAAGATTAGGTCTTTACATGCCCAAATCATGGGCACATGGTTGCTACTCACCCAATTTTTATGGCTACATGGTTATCATTTAATCAATAGACCATATATGTCACTTTGCAAACAACAGAAACTGTATGATCACAAAGGCAGCAAAGGAAATTAAGCATTTTCCCAGTGGGATCCATTGAACTGAACTTCTGGTATTTTTTTTCTAAGTTCCTGGTGTTAGGTTACTAAGCGTCACCTATCCAAGAGGTCTTAAAGGGAGTTAACATTGTTTTGGCAAGGTTTTCAGGTTTTAAGTTGTGTATAACTTTCAATGAGCCCATTTAAAAAGAGTGACATTTCTGTTCATATCTTTTTTCTCCTAGCCACTGATTGTTATGATGATGCTATGTTTCTTCGCCCAGTGGAGATTTGATCATGACTGCTACACATTAGCCAACACTGAAGTGCTTGTTTGGAATGGAGCTGCTGTCTTTGCTTTCTTTCTTCTCTTCTGGTATTGTTTGTGGGGTCTTATCCAAAGAACACCTTGTATGGGGGTATGTAGTCTTCGTAAAATTCATTAACCCTTTAACTCCCATGACTCACCAAGATATAATTTTTGCTTACAATATTAAAAGTATCAAACCAACAAGTGATGAGAATAAAAAAAAAATATCAATTAAGGGATTAAGAGTCAATCCAATATCAAATTCTCCAAACTAACATCATAAAAATCATATGGCAGACTGTAAAAAGAATACTTGATGAGATCCTTGAAGTGATAGAATTAAACCTTCACAAGAGAATATCGACAATTGATATTCTCTTGGACTTCGATGTAAATGAAATTTAATGTTAGGGTTATTCATTAATCAAAAGATGCCAAAGTGTTGACCTTTTTTTGGAGTTCTTAAACTAGGCTTGATTTTGCAGCCCTCACATGTTAGGTCTTTGCTCCTTTGTTCCTCCCCAATAGGAAGAGCATGGACACCATACAGCTTCTGGTTCTCAAGTGTTAACCCTAAACCATTGAGAGTGACTAGCATCTAATTTCTCCTTACAATATAACCACTGAATCACACATTAATGTGATGAGAACAGAGGAAATTAACTAAAGAAACTCTTGATTCTTTGACAAATTTTCCTTTTCAGCACCTTAGTTAATGTACAGAGTACAGTATGAGGAACATGAATACCAATGTTACAGTGTTAAAGGTTAGCCCAACTGGCACTGTGACTGGAAGCATCATGCCTCAGTTTATAATCATAAATCTCAGGGGCAAGATCATTTTTAAAATCCATCAGGAATCACAAAACTTCTGTCATTGTATGTGTTGCATTAATTTTTTAACCACATTTATACCATTGTCTAAATCCCTCTTAATTTCCCCTACCAAAATAATAATTTTCCTTTAATTTGCTCTTTTTAGTTTTTCATGATTGTGCCTTTGGCTGTCATGTACATTCTTGCAAACATCACTTTTCAAATGGCTGTGAAGAATTCTGCACTGCAGAGCTTGAACTGTGAAACTTGTTGGAATCATACAAATCACCTGTCAAACCATGTGAAATACTATAATGCATTCAATCTGATGCACTGGTACTTCAATCCTGTCTTGTGGACACTTGTTTTGTGCCTCTGTCAAGCAATCAGTCATAGCTTTGAACGTAAGTGGCATAATTACTTAGGTAGCCAGAGAATAGGCCACCATCAGTGCTCATAGCATGTCGAGTAGCAAAAACATTTTAATCCCAGCCCTCCTTCTCTTGTCAGCTTTTACATCACTTATTGCTGCCCCAGTCATGCCACAGCACCAGTTAGAGCTTGCTCACTAGCTGTAATTTGTTGTGTGGTAGGCCTAATTTGGTAGACTTCACTATTTCATTCAAACTATTCTTGAAATAATTAAAACAAACAAGCTGTCAGTTTGAAATTGAGAAAGTGCTTGAAACCTCTGTACCCTCTCACAAAGAAATATGAGAGGGTGAATGAGAGCAACCTGAAACAGTCATAAATTGGGTAGCAAACTTATCACATTTGGAAAGCTTCAATAATGAAGTATTATTCCCACTGATAACTAGTCAATTTTTAAAAGTTTAAAATCAACTCCTTACAGCCAAGATTCCACCACGTGTTAATCAGACCAACCACTGGATGAGTTGTGATATAATATGTAAGACTTATGGTTTTCCCAAGACATTATTGATTTTCATGGCACAAGCTATCTTCGGAACCATTGATGAGGTAATCACACTTGGATTATGTTGTTGCAATTTGTTTGGTGAGGTGATACCCAGCAGAAAAAATGTAATTATTTTTGACAATTCTCAGGCCAACAGAGGCAAACGCTAGCTGAGCATAAAGTGCGAGTCAGGTTTAAGAGGAGGAGTGCAAAAAAAAAAAAAAAATTAAACCCTGTTTGTCTCCATTCGTCTGAAAATTGTAAACAAATTTCACCTGTTCTGCAGGCTAGTAAGGTGGTAGTAACTTTACACAGTGACCCAGCCAACTGAATTGAAACCCAACCTTACATCCCACATTCAAGTGCACTCAGGGCCATTAAGCCTTTATTTCTCACTCTAATTTCTCTTTTTAACCGGGTGTACTTTTCTAACAGCTTATGGCATCACCAAGGCTTCTTCCCCTATTGATCCTACGAGTTTGTTTCACTCTTGGATATAGTCCAAAGGAATGGAAAGTATTGAAGATATTGGTTAAAAAGTCGTTACAATATGGTAAGCATTTGTTATCAAGTGTGGAAAGTAAGTGCTGTAGTAAAGAGACTCAACAGTTTATTTGAAAAATTTCAAATTTTGAGTCTTAATTTGGCTACCCTCATTTATGCTCAGTGGCAGATTGAGAGGAAGGGTTCAGCCAGGAGATCTGGATTCCCCTCACATCATGCCTTCCTGAAACAAAAATTCTCAGACTGACAAGATCAAATATTAATTCTCAACAAACTGTGAACCCATGGGCGAGGAGGGAGGGGGATAGCAAAATTCATTGATTTATCCCAACCCATAAATCTCATCTTGACTCAAAATTGATCATGTGATCAATGTGACTAATAAATATAAATGATAGGTTATTCTGACCTCAACAGGGGACCCAGCATTGGACTACATTGGCACAGGTGGGGCTGATTATCTTCCCAAAGATTCAGTGATACCTGGTAGGTATACAATATATGTGTGACAACAAAAACAGCTGAAGAGTTTTCTACTTACTCAAATGTTGCCTTTTGACATCAATGAAATGTCAAACTGAAACATGGTGAGAATAATGACAGAGAGAAACATAATCTAAACTGGAAAATAACTATTTTTGGAAAATGCTACAGTAACAACCAAAGCTTTTTCTTAAAATCTAAGAGGTGATGTACAGAGTACTTCTCAAAAATAACATTTCCTTTATCTTACAAAATACCAACAGACAATCCAGTCAGCTTCACACCCTTGAAGACATCAAGTCTCTCTTTCCCTGACCATACATGCACTCTCACGTTTACAGAGCTCCACAAAAATGAAAAAGTTAAATGCATAACTGATAAAGGTTAACAAACTGCTTTTGTGAATTTTGGATAACTAGGCTTTTGAGCAATAGTAACTCAAGTTGATGGTCAACTACATGTTTCACTGGTCTGCCAAAACGGCACAAGACGATTTCTTTGAAAACTTACAAGTAATTACAAGAAACTCTACTTCTTTGGCAACACCAAATGACCAAATGGGTACCCTTAACTATTAAACACAGTGACTTTTAAATTAGCTGAGATAAAGACAAACTTTTACATTCATAATCACTCCACAACTACAAGAAAGTTTCTCGTAGGTCCTCTTGCCAGAGGTTAGCATGAATGGTTCTTCACCTTTTCCTATCTATAGACAATTCCTTAATAGGAATTAAAATACATCAAAGATGTACTTTACAGTTTAATTGGAGTAAAGTTATATGGCTTACATGTACATTTCTTCTCAAAATTTTAATAAGACAAGTTCTCTATCTGGTCTCCACTAATAGAATATGTGTTGCATAATGTCTTGTTTTTCCCCTAAATCACTTGTTTTTTCTTTAACTTTTTGCAGAAGTCTCACTATCTACAACTGGTACAAGTGGTGAAGCTCTGGAGAACAATTATAACATTGGTTACAACATAAGTAAGAATGAGTTATTTATAGTAAATCATTAGAATAAGAACAAAACTGTTGAAGTTCATTTAACAATCAAGAAGTGTAGTATATTTGCTGGAAAATCATGCACTGGAAGGCTTTATCCCTATAGTAATTTAACTGTGAGCTTGAAATTGAGACAGAGACAATGTCTGAAGGTAAATAAGGGCTGAAAAAAACTCCATCATTTGGTTAGCCACCTTCCTCACTAAACAGTACAAACTCTTACCCTGGGAATAGCAGTCTAGCATAAAAAAACCCTTACAATTCTTCATACCAACTTGTGTAAGCACTAAATGTACTATGGTAAATATAACTGGGAAAAAAATTTTTTACCATACAATTTACACTTTCTCTAGTTTTTAAATATGAGAATGCTACTGCTAGTCAATTTTCAACAAACTACAAGATTTCTTTTTGTCATAAATTTTAAGAAACTGATCCTTTACTGTGCTCTTTCAATGAAATACAATGTAATAGAAATGACAGTATCAATGAATTTGTACTTGTTTAATTCTTGTAACAGGAAAACTAAAGAAAACCTTACAAGAGATGGAGTCCACACTTACTGACAGACAACGCAAAATACTAACTGACCCCCGCACAATCCATTACTGTGCTGATGACTGGCTAAAACACTACATCGTGTTGAGGCACTATGTTGCAAAATATGAGCTACAAGTGCATGCATATGGCCCATTTCGATCAGGCAAAGAAAACAAGGAAGCTTTTCATGATGATGTACGAATGGAGAGAGACTTTCCCCTTGCTAAGCACAGCAGCTTTAGAAATTTCTTGCAACAGGTTCGTTTTCACCTCTGGTTGATGGAAGATGAGTTCATAACTAAAAGAGCTATATCTGCTTGTTGTGCTAAGGAAATTTAGTTGATCATTACAGATTGAGTCTGATCATACTTTGGTATGGTACATGGACAGTGTTTTAGTTCACTTTTAAAGGGGATTTCCTCATAAATGTCTGCTTTAATTCTTTCAACTGATAGTTACAGTATGTTTTTAACCAATAAAATATAATTTGGTCAACAATTTTAACCAATCATCTTCCTTCAACCCAATTAATTCAATGCAATTGAAAAAAAAATTCCTGGTACCCCTTTATTTTTATGCTGGTTGTGGATCTGGACCAATCAAATTTGATGAAAATGTTACCTTTTATGACAACAAAAATAGAAGGAAATAATGAGAGCAAAAATCTTAATTAGATGCTGCAAGAATGCAGTGCTCTAAACTAGCTCCATTTCCTTAGTTGGACTCCACATTCTCAAACAGCAAGAGAAGGTTTCCTAGTTTTAAAAGTTTTGAAAAACTTTCTTCTCCCATTTTGAGTTCATTGTAACTTAACAATGCAACTACGGTCTAAACAGTAAGAGAACTGCAACTTAGAGAAATGCAATTGAGTTTAAATTTTAACCCTTTTGTGATATAAAAGAGAATTTTATAACTTGTAAATAATCAAATGAAAGAAAAGTTTGTCTTTGCAAGACAGAAGTAGACCACATTTGTGAAATGGAGCATATGCATCCTTAATTGTATGTGGCAACTATCTGTCACAAGTTTTAAATCATTTCAGATATTTTAAAAATAGAATGTTAAATACAATTTTACAAAGCAATACATAGTGCTTGGCATTTGAATTACATTGTATTTTTATTGTGTAATTTTAAACAATAAACAATGTTCTTAGTAGTTGCTAGTTCTTATCAGTTCTTAATAACATGTGTGCCTTAAAACTGACAAAACACATGGAAAAGTGGTATGCATTTGATAAATAGAGGACAAAATCCCCTACCTTTACATGGCCCTTAACAGTCACAAAATATTAAAATTTTTATGTGGGGAGTGAGATATAATTTTCATAGAGAATATATGGGGTGTGGTGGATAGTTAAACCTTTTTAACTGATGAATATAGAATTTGCCAGATTCTTGGTGACGGCTTCAGCAAGTGAGTAGTCGCTATTTACTGTTAAGTTAAGGAAGGTGCACATTAACATCAGGTTTTAATCAGGTGTGAAAAAATACAACTGCACAACATTTTCAAATACAAAAAAAGATAATGTAAAAGAAACTTTATTGTATGCATTTTATCAGGACATCCTAGTTACTGAATCAAACCCCCTCCCTCTCCCACCCCCATGCATAATCTTACTGATATTGCAACCAGTTCTTTAAAAAAAACCACGCTTGAGCACTGAAATTAGACAATTTGATCCCAAAGTAAATTCTTATAATTAATCAACAGAAGAATTTCTCATCCATTTATTTCCCAATGAGGAAAATCACACTTGGGGGTAAATGCATTCTTGAGAGTTAAAAAGATTCTCAACATTCATATATATTCAACTACACTACATCCAAAGAGCAGATATTCCACAACTTATTAAATCATTACAATCAAATTAATTTTTAGTCATCAAACAATCAAACCTTTATTGAACAACTTGGGAAATCTCAGAACTTACAACTCCAAAAATATTAGACACTTTCTCGCAGTGAATTTGTGATGTTCTTTATCTTTGTGGCCATGGACATGTCTATGCGTTTGTCACCAATTTCCACAACCATTCCTCCAATCACTGAAGGGTCGATCTATAGGAGGTAACAAGTTAACATTAGCAGACCCCTGAGCAAGCTCTAAATGTTACAGTGATCTTATCCGTGTGGCAATTTTAGCCTTAGTCCATAAGCTTAAAGTCATGCTCTTAAATGAAAAACAGGATGCCTGAAGACATCTCTTTGGTCAAAAAGTCCTCTTCAAATTAGGTTATGTTTGTAGTGACCCAGAAGGGCAAATATTAAATGTTGTTGGTTATAATGCTACCTCAAAAAACAATATTGACTAACTTTATATATCCTCTCAAGCTTCCCCCCAGCCAGCCAGCCACCTCCCCCCCCCCAACCCTCTCTCTCTCTTACAAGCTCCAGTAACTCTTAAGAGTGTCTGGAGGAAAGTAAGCCAAAAAAGTGCTAAATGGAGAGATTACAGCAAGTGCGCACTAGAAATGTAGTATGAAAGACCACTCTACTAGGATGAAAAGAAAGCCAGTGGTGGTTTACTCACCTTAGTTTCAATCTTAAGAGTTTCATTCTTTTGTACAAAACCTTTCAATGCTGCTTGCAACTCTTTCAATTGAGAAGAATCCAATTCCTGAGAAAGCAAAGCAGTAATCACATGTACACATTACTTGTAAGATCTAAGTGCTTGATAGTTATTTTTCATGTAATTTGTATTTATTTATTACATTCTTTTCTTTTCATACCTCCTTGTTAGTGTTTTTGTTAACCCTTTAACTCCCAAGATCCAATTGTTAATTCTCCCCTTTAGCTGCTACACATTTCTTTGTTAATAAGTTACAAGAATTTGGTGTTAGATTAAGATAGCAACTCCAATCAGATAAGTTTGGGTATTGGATGAATAGTGAACAGATATTATAGGGAGAAGTTCCATGATAATCACTTTTGGGGGTTAAAGGGTTAAGTTTGTTAGCATTTGTCTTCGTCAGTTACACTTTGTTGCATGTTTATCATACCCCAAGTTATTTTGCAGTCCTCTTGTATTAAAAGCCAGTTTGTTTTAAACATAATCCCTTTTCAAGTCAGTTTACTTCAGGTCTTGCTTGGTATAATTCTGTTATTAGAAGTCGATTTGTTATCGATCAGTGTAAGGACAATGTATTTTTTTCCTTTGGATTCATTTTTTGTTTCTCGTTTGTTTATCTTAATTAGTTAACTTGACTCTTATTTATGTTTTTACTGCTGCGATCCAAAAAACAGTATTAATTTAAGTTGGAAGAAAACCAAAAAAAGAAAGACATTCCGTAATTCCTTCACTAGAATAAAATGTACATTCAAGTAATGTACAGCTCTTGGAACTAAAAGATGAAGTCATTACTCAAATTCAACTTCATGAGTGTTACTTCTGTAACACTCACATGTACAGATGCTCAACACTATACTGAACACACTTCCCAATATTCATTATAACTGCAATTCATACAAAAAACAGGGGAGACTTAACTGACCACAGATGTAATAGTTACAAAGATGTAATACATGTGTAAATTTGTGTGTAATCAAAAATTAATTTCAAGATATGAAATAACCATTGCAGTGATAAACTATAAATCAAACCCATGAATGGGTTCTGAGTAAAACCTTACACACAAACTACACATCAAATTTATCTTGTCATGATAATGGAACATGAGAAACTGATCAGGAGCAGGAACTCATTTGGTATAAATCATCAAGTTTATCTTCCCTCAACTCTGTACACAATATCAATCAAGCACTGAAATTGTAAAATAAAAGTTGAAGGTTTCACACTTCCCTAATTGAAAGATAATGGGCTTTAGGATATGGAGAGAAAGACTGTAAAAGTACAAAGCAACACTATACTGGTACTTTGTAGGAACTCCCTTCGTAGTAACTCTGCATTAAAAACAAATACACTTGTAGGGGATTACATGTCATAATATTGCTTTGTAATAATAATATAGCAGGTAATCAAATATACTTCTGAAGAACTAAAACAAACCTTGGCAGTTGTTATGGAACACAACACTTCACCTCTGGCTGCACTCATAAGTTTGCCAAATGCAGAAACTACATTATGGACTAAACCAAGGCGGTTGTTTTCTGCCAATATTGCTGTAAAAAGAAACCCAAAACAAGAGTGTTATTGGATTTACTAATGCAAATACTTGCTTCACAAACACTTGCTTACACATATGTCTCAATATAACTAGCATTTTTACAGCTATGCTGTAATTTTGTACAATTAGGGGAATTAATACTGTAATTTTTTTTATTTTGGGTGTGGTCTTTATGCTGGTATTGTAATTAAGTAATTTTTTGTGTAATTTCTTGTAGTATTGTAGCATTTTAGTAATGTAGTATACTAGCATTTTAGTCATGTAGTATTGTAATCTTGTAATTTTGCAAAATAAAAAATTAAAAAGAAAAAAACATAATACATGTATTCTAACCCTCAAGCTAGAAGTAAACATGGGAGATCTAAAAGCAACAATTAATGCAATTTCACTTAAGAGGATAACATGAAGGAATAGGAAATTTAAAAACAAGAAAACTCACCAAAAAGGTTCACTGTAATATCAGTATATTTTTGTGATTTCAACACATCAGTAAGAAGTGCTAAAGGAAGAAAGTCAGAGTCAAAATCAAATTAAGACTAACCATTATATATCAGTGAAAAATGACAATCTTCTTTAGCTTCTTTAAACTAATAAAAAAATTCTAAAACATCAAAACTTAAAAAAATTGTACTGGTTGTCAAACTCGCCAATCAAGGTTTTAACAGTAAAGAATTCAGATTACATGTTCTTTCTTTTTGTCAAGCAACAAATAGGCAAGTGTAAAGTGGGTACCAGTATGAACTTGTCTAACTACATTGCAAAACAGGAAACAATAATGAAAAGAGGCCAAATGACCTTTTCACCACATTAAACAGTTCATTTCTCAGAGTTAAATTCCCTGATATCACACATAGGTTGAAAAGCAAATTTTAGGAAGAAATCTACCCTTTTTAAATTGATATGACTCTTTGCTAACAAGACCAAATAGTGTTTACTTTTAGTTAAGACTGGACTGTATAAACTGATACCATTGATACAGATTAGCATGTCAACCCTTACATTGTTTCTTGTACTTGTCCAAAGTTGGATTTGCAAGATATTCAGAGAGTTTTTCATTTGTACTTATAAGCTCATCGACATTCAGTAATTCACTCTCAACCTTCTCCAAATGCTTTTGTTTAGCTGCAGCAGAGTACAAAGCATGTGCATAGCGGCCTTCTACACCAAACACTTGTATAGGAGGCTGTAAGAAAAACAAATTGTATTTTACAATGATCAAAATTTATACAGGACAACAATACTATTATATTTCTAAATCTTACATTTCTACTGGTTTGAGAGGGGAACAGAGAAAAGATGCAAGTTAATTTCCAAGACATCATTGTGTTAAAATTCAGGCATATTATTCATTAAGGATTACCTATCCAGATTGAGTCCCTCATTTCACAATCAGTTCTTTAAGTCAAAATATTCTACACATTAGTTTGGATGCCTGGCGATTTCAGGGTTTGGGTGCTATCATGTCACTCTTGACCTCAGTCTCAAATGATCATTGGTGGTAATGGTGACACTTCAAATCTCATAAAGTTCTCCATTAGTACAGATTGCTAGAGTTTCAACAAGCAAGTAAATTAAACATCTACTGCTACACTGTTATGACTTTTCTGAATGACTGGTTATTTCTTTCCCCCTGCACTATAATCATTTTCAAGTTTGATCAGCCACAAAGTGATACAAATTGACCTTTCTCACAGAGCCAAATTACTGTATTTGTTTATATCTTAAGAAAACACGAATCCCATGCACATCACTAATTTTACCCATTACTTTTAGTCTTATATTAAAGATTTAAAACAACACAAAATGCAAACCACGAAAAAGCTTCACGATACTTCGTCATCTAAATCAGTCTAAATCTTAAGAATATCTACGAAGTCAAGTAAAAAGAAGCACATAATATACTATCGTAAATAACGATTCAACCACAAATTATGTAAACAGATCATCGTTTTACGGGGGCTGTGTTCATTTCAAATTAGTAATACTCAGTTTTTTGTCAAGAAATTCACTATTCAGAACCAACAGAAGCTTGTAAACATATATGAACATATAGTACTAGTAAATTTACCTTAGCGGCTAGCTCAGCACATCGGGCAGACGAGACACTCAGACTTCGAGCCTGTCATAGACCAAGGACGAAATAATTTTGTCAAAAAAGAAAACAATATGAGATTCATATGACGAACAACAATTTTGACGGTTCGTTGTCCACTTTACTCACCAAGAATGGCACACTTTCTAACATGCGACAGCCTCTCAACATAGCCGCCATGTTGGTTGATTAGAGTAAATCTCCCGGATGAATTTCTAGTGCCCAGTGAACTCGCGCAAAGTTATCTCCAACTTACATACAAAGAGGGCGACGTACACGATCATGTACTTTGTACTTCTTTAATTCTGAAAGCTGTTTTCTTCCTTTGTTTCCACTTAAATCGTTAGAAAACAGGGCTCACAGCTTAACATGACGTAGCAATTATTTGTGACTGGCCTTGTTGGATTGAAAAATTTGAGAATATTGCATACGAATGTAAAAGTCAGTTTACGCGATAGGAGAAAACTCTTGTTACGCAACACGCTCTCTCCCGGGCGTGTTGTGTGACAAGATCAGACAACTTGCTGTGAAGGAGACTAGGCTTATCTTCGTGTTTGGAAAACCATTATGATTACACAAATTTTAAGGGCAGGGACAGGAATCTAGGATGGGGGGAGGGTCCAAACTTTGATCCAGAAAACACACACAAGCTAAACAATATTGGGAGGCAAGTAAATTTAGTATACTTTACAACAAGGAGAAACGTGTGATCTTGTGGTTGCAAAAGGTTTTAATGTCTGGGTCAGGGGATTGTGGACCCCCCTAGATCCTTCTCCTATATCTAATACTGATTATTTAGGTCATTTGAATTTAGGTTATGTGAAATATACTCACAGGAGAGATGAATTTCTTCCTTTATTACACCCATTTTGAAATCACTGGTAGTCCCTGTAATCTGATTGGCTCTATTTGGTTTGATTTATTCACAAATCGCACCATTTTTTGCTTTAAATCGCATCTTTTTCCCAGCCAGTGAGAAGGCTACACCAAAAACAAAACAACCAATCAGATTTCAAGGCTTGTTAAAAGTAACCAATCAAATTGCAGGAAAATGAAAGATAAAGAATATTGTATGGAAAATTTTGCAAAATGGATTGATTCAATTTCAAACCGGCTCAGTACTGCATCAATAAAATATTTGAACTGTCCAAGCGCTGTATTTGAGTGATTTCAAAATGGATGTAATAATCATACTTGTGATTTAGAATTGAACTGACGCTGTGCACTTGTTCGATTTTGAAATCACGCATAAGATTTCAGCCCAAATTGTACTCCACTCAGTTCAATTACCATTATTAATCATTTAATGATTACATTAAGTATACCATTCTGACATTAAAGACTTACAAATAAATATGTAGCACAGCAAGGTTAAAACATCTAAATTTCTTCTTTTAAGTTACAGTGAGTTCCACCAGTTATCATCTAATTCATCATCCACCTTAAAGAAATCTTGAACAAACTGAGAAGATGATGACTGATTATCTGCTGCATTCATAGCTGCAGCAGATTTCATAAAATTATTACCTTGGCTAAGATAGCTTTCACTATCAATTTGACAATTATTTCTGTGTGGCTTAAAGGAAAAAGAGTTATTTTCTGAGCATGTTTCATGCATGTCAGTTTGTGATGAGTAACTAGACATGAACCTATTCCACTTTGATGAATGTATTGCTTTCCGTTTCTGGTCAACCAAAGCACTTGAGTTCATCCTTTTCATTGTTGGGGAGGGATTTCTGGTAGCCTTTGCAAAATAAATGTTACATTTGTATGGGTTATTTTTGGTATTCGACTCCAAATCCTCATTGGCTTGTGCTTGTTTGCCATAGGACTGAAATTCATCAACTTGGTTTGATGTCAAGTTATGTAAAGGAGTATTTGGAAAAGAGGTTTTGAACCCTGAGCATGTACTGACACTATCTTCATTTGCACTTATTTTGGATCTTTTTCCCTGGAAGCCAGTTCCTGATTTGCAATGTTGCCATGATGACTTTCTCTTTCTTCTTGAATATGCTTTATCAAACAAATCCCTTTCTGTTGTTATATCGTCACTGTCCAATTCCTCTAAATCTTATGTATAAAAAAAAAAATTCAAAAAAGTATGTTTAGCACAACAAAGCATTGGTTGGCACTCCAAAAACCAATAACAATAACAACAACAACGTGGATTTCACAATTTCTATAGTCTCCACTCGGAGCATCACACATTCAATATCTGAATTAATCACCATCTCCTTGACAATTTAAATAAAACACAAATACATTCTACAACTAATGGCTTATATGTTCTTATATTATATGTTCTTCTACCAGTGACCAAATCACCCCCTGAAAAAGCAATTGGAGAATGTGTCAAAATGTAAATTTTAAGGATCTTTTTAATGTCAAAAAATCTCTTTCAAACTTTCATACCTGCAACCAGACAGAAAATGACATTAAGTTCAATTTGTTGTTTGAACCTATCATGTGAATAGTGAATAAATTTTGGGTGACCTTGGTTGAAGTCTCACCACTAATGAAGCATTTAAATGAGGTTCAATGAATAAATCTTCCAGTATAAGGTTTAAACCTAGAAGTACTTAACACAGTAGTTCTTGTGGTCTGATCATCCATGAAGAGAAAGTCCTGAAATTGAATGTTTATGGGTGAAAGTGACAGCCTTAGGCTTAACAATCCATTTCAGGGCTACCTTCACCTGTACAATCAGACTGCATGATCAAATAAACCATTAATTACCATCATGGTCAGTAGAACTGATCTCTAAGAACTTCTCCCATTTGCTTACTCCTTTGAAAAAACCTTCCTGGCTGTTGCAATTTGTACCTTGGTTTATCTTAACATTGCCAGTCAACGGGGTATTTTCAGAGAAGTCACAAGAACTAGGATTTTCATCATTGCAGGATATCAAATCTCTTGCCTCCTGTGCTTCTCCTTGTTTCAAATTTAATTTCTGCACATGCTTACGGCAGTCAAGACCAGTCCCTTGAGCATAAACTTTTTTAATTGATTGCTTTTCTCCACATACTTTGCAAACCCACTTGTTGCTTTTCTTAACCTGTTAATGGTTACAAAAAAAGACTTGCACAACTCATACCAGACCTCTAAAAATGCTCAGACTGTAACATTGTGTAGTGACAAGGAGTATTGCCTGTTCCCCTACATTGAATACTTGTTCATTAATTGCAGCCAACTCCCTGACAACTTGTCACAACCCTTTTTATTGTATACAGCTGTGTAAAGAGAGGCAATCTGAGAGTTACTGTGAGTTTCTCTCCAAGAACACCCCCTTATGACCCCGAAAAAAGGCTGGATTCCGGTGCACTAAAGACTAGGGTATTATGTCTTCCCTTGTACTACTGACAAATTTTCAGTAAAATATAGATTCGTACAGTCGAACCAAATGCACTGCAAAAGTTTTACCCAACCTTTGGATTTAGAAATGTGTCTACTTTTTCTGCTTTTCCTTCAGAATAACAATCACAGCCAAAAAAAATATAAAAGATAGTCTAATGTACCTACTAGCTTGTGGACTGAAGGAGTGAAAAAAACTAAGACTCTAAAAGTCACATCTGCTTACTTGGTGAACCTGAAAGGTTGCACAGGAAAAACACTTCAGTATCATAAACTCTTGCACCATATTTCTGAGACTTGTGGTGTCACTGGAAAACTCAAAATCTCAGTAATATCTTTCGTTTCCTGGAGCGTGTTTGCTTCTGACTTCGCTTCGTTCAAATAAGGCGCCAAAGAACTTTTTGAAATTCTCTTCATTTATGTTGAACGAAATATCACCAATTCTAGCTTTCCAGTTTCCCTCTTATCAACGGAAGTTGAGCAAGTGGTTATGGTGCACACTGGTGCAGAATTCTCAGAAATCTAAGTAACTTCTTTCGATTTAGGACGTATTTGAGACTAATCAGAGGTATGTGAAACTGAAATTAAGTTTTCTGTGATATGCCAGATTTTCTGTGGTATTAATGTTTGGGGGATTCTTCATTTGGAAAGGTCAGGTAAACGATACATGCAGTAAAATCCTGGTAGATCATGTTACATTACCAAGAAAACACTCATCGAGAAGGCGTACAAAGTGGTCTTTGTGCTTCTCAATTGATGCAAATTACAGGAGTTAAAGTCCACCTGGCTTCTCTGTGAAGCTCAAGCTTCTCCCTTGTAAGCTCGCTTTGATCGAATATATTCAAAAGATATAAGGTGTTTTTTTTCAGTTTTCATCTTATTTTATTATCGACAGATTACATTTCATTCAAGAATAGATCGCTTTGGAATTGTTTTCGACTTTGTGCAGGCAGAATGTCTAGCCTAGTAAATGTCCACGAACAGGACATAACAGATACATCGCTTTCATCCTCTGGCGATCAGAAACCTCTTGTGCTCAAAGAGAGAAGTTGTTTTCGTGTGGTTTTGGTTGTAATCCCTTGTTTGCTTTTGATATGGGGCGTTTCATTGCTTCCCACCGTATTCTACGCAAACAAACTCCCAGTTCCTACGGATCCACCTTCACCGAACATCAGGTTAGATTTTGCTGATAATTTTCTGGTCTTATGTCTAATGTGGGAACTGATAGAGATTTGATTTTGATTTTTGACTCCAAATTTTCTGAGTGGTATAGCATTTATGGAGATTTCCGCGCAGCCCAATTATTCATAATGCATGCATTCAGTATAGGATGACAGTGACAAAACAGTAGGAATACAGCTTTGTTCTAGAATAGGATGGATTTTTTAGTATATAAAGAAATATTCTTTAAGGATTTTGATGTAGTCAGTCAATCTTATAACTTAACCCTGTAACTCCCAAGATCTGATTGTTAATTCTCCCCTCTAGCTGCTACACATTTCCTTGTAAATTAGTTATGAGAACTTGGTGCCAGATCAAGATAGCAGCTTCTACCTGATAAGTTTGAATCTTCTCATTACCTGTTTGATGAAGAATATATAGATACTGTAGGGAGAAGTTTTATGTTAATCACTTCTAGGAGTTAAAGGGTTAACTAGAAATAAAAAAATTTTCCTCTCAATCAAGTCAAATAATTTGAAATCAGTCAACTGACTGATGAATGAAGATGATAGGGAATTTGATGAAAGCTCTACTGGGCAAGTTAACTGAGTGTTATGTAGGATTTCCTCTCAGCTCCATACTATCCTAAAACGAAGAAGCAATTAAGGCAACCTTTTATTTTTGCTATGATTTTTTTTATCTTAGCTCATACATTCATGGTTTTCTTTTGGGTTAATTGCTGTGTAGTCCCCTAAATGAACATATGTTCACAAGGCTACCTTAAAGGGGAACACCATGATCATGAATATCCATCATACAATAAAGAGGTGAATTATGAAATGATAGTCATAAATTAAAAAAGTTTGAATTTAGCACTAGCACATCCACAAGATACCGGTAAGTAAATCCACTGTTTCCTTGGAAAGTGTCTGTATTACTGACTTTGTTTTTGTGGAGGGAGGATTTAAACTTTGACCCTTAAGTGTGAAAGCATATAATTTCTCCTTACATTATCACCTCTAATTCATACATAAAAGTTATGAGAATAATGAAAAATGGTCATCAATGCAATAAGTTCTTGATTGTTAAACAAATTTTCCTCGTCAGCACCTTAAGAAATGTTTAGAGAAAGAATGTAAAATGTGCATACTGATGTTAGGGTGTAAAGAGTTGACAGGGTGACAAGAATGAAACATCAAACTCAGCCTGCATGTGATACTTGGTCAAGGAATTGTGACCAAGCTCCAACATAGGAAAGTGAAAGCTGTCATCAGGGTGCTTTCTCTGCTAGAGGATTTCATAGCTAGTATGTAGGAAAACAATTCAATTTTAGATCAATCAACCATTCACAAAGTTTGTAAAAACAGATTTAGATTTGAGGTAAGGTAGGTGCACATTTTCATATCACTGAGATAACCTTGTCACTTTTTTCTTTCCTGTAGTAATCAAACTCAGCCTCTGTACCCTTGCAGTCATCCACTCATTTTGAACCAGAAAACACATTTGTGTGAACCACCATGCCCATGGGTGATGCTGACAAAAGCAGAAAAATTTGCCTTGCTAGTCGTTGAAAGTTTTTCTATTGCTGTTAGTTTGTTGGGTTTTGTCATAATATTGTCAACTTGGATGCGGATTAAAAAACTGTGAGTTTAATGTCAATGCTGTTGCCCTTTCCTTTTTTTTGTGCAGAATTGTATCATGTTTATGTAATAGTATAACTTTAATTGTAATTTTCTTTCTCTGCAATGTTTTTTTTCCTTTATAGTGACCTATTGGTCATAACTCTCTGTAATTCTTAAATTACATTTTAATTGAACAATATTCTTTTGGATTCAGAGATATAAATGTAATAAATAACACCCAAAAATTCATTAGAAAGGTTTGATGAAAATAAACAAATGAATGAAAATACAAGACTAGCTCTGGATACTTGCAATACCAACAAACTATTACCTCTTGCTGTTCACAATACAGTATTCACAGGAGTACAATTATTGAGAAATGCCATGTTTGACAGAACTGTTTTCTTTGCTATATTGTCAGGAGATGTTTTCCGCATATAATTCCTCTTTACATTCAAGGCCTATCATCAGCCATTGGTAAGTTTATTTTGATCAACCTTAAGTACTTTCATTTTATTTCAATTGATTAACCTTAAACTCCTGTAAGTGACTGAGGCAGAATTTCTCATTACAATATCTGTACAATGTAAAACACTCAGACGAGTGATGAGAATAAAAATTATCAGTAGTAATAGCATACGAATTGTCTGACAGACAGCAAGGAGAATTTTCAATGAGACCTTGACATTAAAAGGGTTAAAAAGAACAAACAGCAATAATCTATTTACCGATAAATAAGAACACTCAAACATGAATGAAAGTGATCCTCACAGTGATGTGCACTACTTGGGCAGTAGTGAAAATAAGGCCTGAAAAAAATTCAGGTCTGTACAGGATTTGAACCCATGACCTCTGCGATACTGGTGCAGCGCTCTACCAACTGAGCTAACAAGCCAACTGGGAGCTGGTCATGGGTTCAGGCCTTATTTTCACTACTGCCCAAGTAGTGCACATCACTGCGAGGATCACTTTCATTCACGTCTTTATCCGCAGTTCAAATATTAATATGACTTTCATATATTCTTAACCGTTTATTCATCACTTCATGGGTTTATTTGGAACCAACATCAAATCCCGTACAGGCCTGAATTTTTTTAGACCTTATTTTCACTACTGCCCAAGTAGTGCACATCACTGCAAGGATCACTTTCATTCACATCTTTATCTGCAGTTCAAATATATGACTTTCACATATTCTTAACCGTTTGACACTCAAACATGTTAACAATATGTTTATAACTCTGTGAAACAACTTTAATCATAACTGGATAGTTACCAGTACATCATAGCCTTTTTGTTTATTGTTTACTGTTTCCTTTTGTTTAACTCAATAATTTAAGTGTTCTGTAATGATAAGAGAGCCACCAATAATGACTGTATTCTCTCCCTTCCTGTGACTTTGTTGGTGCTTTTCCTCAAAGCATGGATAAATTGTTAGCGTGTATTTTTCAAGTGCACATTCAACTTTACACTGACACATTCGCTAAGTGAGTTTCTGAACTCAGAATTACAAGGAAAAAACTTACTTTCATTTCTTTCTAAACTTCAATCTCTGACTGGCAGATGAACTGGTAACTTAACATATTCTGTACTCACAGAATTAAACAAATTATCCTAAAATTTGATAAATTCTCCTCGTAAATACAGAAGTAATTAGTTGGGTTTCAGTAGCATGATTTGCTTCAAGTTAGCATACATCTTGTGCAAAACTCAAAATTGTGACGCAATCATTGCCTGTAACAAAATGGAAAAGGAAAAGGAAGGTGATAAGTTTCTCATGCGTCCATAGGTCAAGTCCTTGCTTGCCTTCTAATAAGCGTTACGGCGTCACAACTACTATAATGTCATCAGAACATTTACGAGCATAAAAAGGTTGTGAAATTTTTTTACTTTTTCATCACATGGACATGATTATTTGCACGTTCACCAGAGATGAATTGACAGTCTTTACAAAAGATAATGGTCATTTGATCACTTTCAGGCACTGATAAAGAGTGAAAACAGTGTGGCAATTTCAGTCAATGATTTCTGTCAGCGATTTCTGTAGAATTGTAAGCAATTGGGTACGTTTCCATTGCTGTGTTAACCACAGAGTATTCAATATATTTTTAAGATGAAATACATTGAATGCAACTGATATTTTTGCTGCAAAATTACAACAGTGACAAAGCTTCACAAAAAGCTTCTACAAGTGTAGCACTAATGAAAATAATACAGCCTCAAAGAAGAATAATTTACCACGGATAGCATCCAATTTATGGTGAAACATTACTGCTCTTAAAGCAGAAATTTCCCATCTATTGTTGTCTGTTTTATTTGTTGTTGACAGGAATAAAACAGGCAAACCTTAATTTAAAAATGACATGACCTTTATTCATCCATGTCATTGGTTTGTTGAAGAACTTAGTTGCTGAAGAGTAAATTTCACATTACAAACCAAACCTGATTTGTTGACACAGTAACTTATTTCCCAAAGAGCTAATTAAAAATGTATTTGAGATCTGATTGGTTCATTCAGGAACCAAGATACCTAAAATTATACGTACACATCAAAATAGTGAAGTACATATTTAAATGGGGATGTGTTACT